GTCGATTGAGAAATATGCAGTGAGTCAGTGGCTTAATGGGATGTGCAATGGAAGTGGAAGTTTGGAAGTTGTAGAAGGAAGTTCAGAAGTGTTTCGATGTCAGGTGACCAGGGAGCTACTGTGTGGGGCTGTGGGGACAGATGTATACAACTTTATGATCAGGATATCTGGTTTGATTTATACATTCATTTAGGATAGAATGTCAGTTAGATAGGGAATATGGACGAGTTAGCAGAAGGTGTTCAATATATTATAGGTATAGCAAGTTTGAGTGTATGTGATTCTATAGTGTTATGATTCGAGATCACTAGCTAGGCTATAGATGCTGCCAACTATAAAGGCTATAGATCAAGTCAACATGTAGAATTTACCCAACACGACTCAGTAGCAGATATAAATGTCTCTCTGGGTAAATTCTAGCTTCTTCCAACAAATTATTTACTACAATACTATGTATACAGCATTTCTTGTGTAAATTTCCCTTCCTCGCATCGCCTACATAGGCTTTCGAGCTATACATTAGGTGGAAGGTGCCATCATGTCTATCAGATGAGATCTGGCATTATTTATTACGTCTAAAAAGGATATTGATAAACAGATGCCACTTTCGTGGGTCTTGGTCCTCTCATAGAAATGTATGAGCTCAAAGAGCTATGTGACACAATTAGTTATTAACCCAGGTCTGATAAAGGAGTTTATATGAAAAACGAAGTGCAGAATAAAAACAGCGAGCTCAATGAAATATATAAAAGAAGTTGTACCCCGTTGGGCCAACTTTCCAACCGCAACCTTCCCCTTCCACTAGCGATGATCTAATCGACCATCACGTGTTATCAATCTTGGACAACTCACAAGGTTGCCAACTCTTCTCCGGGATTCATCCTTTTACTTCTTCAATCTTCCTGGGTTTATTTATTTCTGTCGGGTGTGTGCCCAGACGGTATCGCCTACCCCTTATCCCCTGACCCGACATAGCTAACTCCACCTCTCAAGCGATACCCACGAGCCTGAATGATGGTAATGTCTCTCATGGCTCCTATGCGTCTGGCTGATGTCTTACACTTCCCTTTAGTCTGGGAATTACGATTATCCTCGTGCTCTTCCTCTTCGTCCCGCCGCATATCCCGTACTATCAGGCCTGACGAACGCCCTGAGATTCTCCGTCTCCAGCATCTCCGCAATTTCGTATCGGAACGAAATCGCTCCGGTGCCCACAACGCCTACAACGCCACCCTTGCATTGGAAACATTAAACCGAGAAGTCGCTGAGCATTCTCTGGACCGAGCTCGCGATCGCACCAACTTTGAGCAAGCCCGGGCCGACATCGATCGCCAGATCCAACAACTGCACTCCGAGACAGCTGGCCCCGCAGAGCGAATTCGGAGCATTTGGCTTGACCAAATTCGCTCAGAACGGGCTCGCACATCGCTCTCCCCAGAGTCACATTCCCTTCGCCATCGTTTGCCCTGGCAAACGCTCAGACCACCGAGCCCAGACGGATCTTTATCCAGGTCACCGCCCCTCATGCCACCATCCGGCCAGTCGGGCCGTGATGGCCAAGGACGGATGAAGCGTCGCAAGCTGGACACTGATGATAACCGCGAGGAATTCCGAGGCTTCAACTATGGTCAGTACGGACAAGTGGTACCGGGAATGCTGCAAATGGAAATCGCTAGCTGCGACGGGGGAAGCTACGATCCGGACAGCGGGTGTTCGCGTCCAGAGAATGTTTTGGACAACAATACAAGTGTCTACTCTACCAAAGAGGCCCGTTGCAACTTGGTCCTCTGTCATCGGGGCGAGGCCCCGTTCTGTTTGAAGAAGATCGTTATCAAAGCCCCTCAATGCGGGTTTGATGCTCCGTATGTCCACCAACGGTGCCTGTACATTGGACTGATGGTTAATGGTGGCTAATATGAACCAGAATACAGGAAGGCATGGTATTTGTCGCGATGACCTCTGATGAACTGCTTGCCCGCACCGCTCAATACCAAATTCAATACTCCAGCGGCCGATACCGCCGTCGAGGCCGCCGCAGTGGCATGCAACCATCCCAGGAATACCTCACTGGGTTCCGGCCGCCACTCCAAAATCTCGAACGCACAGTCCTCATGAGCCCACATTCAGCCGCAGTTCCGCAGACCGCAGAAGACCCGCAAGCGCAGTTCCGCATCACCACCGAGTACGACGAGAACAACGAAGATTCAGACGATGACGAAGACTGGCGCTCTACATTGCTCGAGAGAACCCAGGCCGATCAGACGGAAGATCCTTTATCGGATACCGACGAGAGTCCAAGCGATGAGGAAGACCCTTCAAGCAGACATCAGCGTCGCCGACAAATTGAATCAGAACGACTGAGTGCTCTCAGCCGTGTCAGCGAGCAGAGACTGCGCCATGGCCCGAGTCTCGTGCATCCAAACCCCCCAGTGGAGCCTGCTCACCCAGCTGCCGAAGTTCTAAAGCCACATGCGCGTTTCTTTATCGAGCGAGAGAAGAGCATGGTTACCATCAAATTTGATCCGCCGCCGTATGTATCTTTGGAATTGGATGTGGATAACTGAGTACTGACGTTTCAAGATCTGGTCGGTTCATTCTCATTAAGCTGTGGAGCCCGCGAGCCCACGGAAATATTGATATCGAAAGCATTATTGCACATGGATATGCAGGTCCGCGGTTCTTCCCAAGTATCGCTGCTCGCTAGTAGTGGAAATAAGGAGTTTTCAGGCGTCTTTCGGACCAGAGGTATAGAAGCTTTTCATTTTATTTTCGTCTATAGTTTTTCGGCTCAAACTTGCTTACTAGCGAGCACTAGTAAGACGACGTTATGAATGATTATGATATAGGTAACTTTCCAGATTATTGTCCACTTTTCCCTGAGTAGAACCACACTAGTATGTGGGATCGTAAGATATCTAGGAACATCCAAGGTATGGCCACTTGATTACATATGTAGCCTTTATAACTGGTATCTCTAATGGCCTCTTTAGGAACATTCTCAAAGTTATCTTTATGTCTTTCTTGATAGATAAATCGACCCATTTTCTCTTCCTAGCCGTTTCCAGCATAACAGGTGGTAGCGTGCTAATTATTTGAATGATATCTACAACGCACTGCTGTATCCATGGATGCTACCCTAGATACTATAGGACCTCCACAGTCCTCGACATTCGCTATCCCCAATCTGCGCACCTACATAGGCAATCTCTCCAGTATGACTACAGCCGTGACCTACTCCCTCTACATCCAGCATAATGGCGACGACAGGAAGTGTGAACCTATAAACCCCCCATGGCCTGGACCACATCATCGCACGCCGACATCTCGCCCTATAAACGGCGAGTTCAATTTGAGGAGAGGCCCAGTGGCAGCAATCCGGCAGAGATGACGTTGGCCCAATTTATATCGCATACCATGTGGCTCAATGAGTGTTGAGTCTCACCATATCGTCTGTCTCGACCGGGCTAGCTTCATATTGATGAAATGATCGACGCCAAGGTGGTAAGTGGGGACGGGGCCCTGGTGACCCCTCGGCTATGCGCATTGATAGCTTGCAGCTCGATATAAGTCAAATTACACCTGTATACTCCGCGTTGAAAGGATAATTCAAGGATGTGCTCCGCCATGAATCCGAGGAAACCCGGCTAAACATGTAGAAATCCTGCAGGATCTGCTCGGCGTGTTTGGACACGAAGTCAAACAGACAACGGGGGTCCACCGGCGCCCTTGGGATAATCAGCATCTTAGGGGCGAAATCTGCGCATCATTGCCACAACGTAAGTGAGACTTCACCGCAGCGAGATACGCGCTGGACTTCACCACGATGGGTGGCCACATGAAGACGAGCCGTCCTGTTTGGCGCGGCTAGCTGTTATAAAGATAGAATAAAATGCGAGTACGTTGTACGGGGATTAAAGGTCGACCTATAAGAATCGATTCTCGGAAACCGCCCTAACAAACCCCAAGAAACCCCGAATCGGCGCCATGCCTGATCCACGGGACGTTGGGGTTGATGGAGCCAATCTGAAACATTAGCACTAATGCACGGCTCTAGAAACGGTCATCTCGAAAACGGTTACCTACGCTAAATAGGAACTTCGTCAACCGGTTGGTCCTCAATCCATTTCAACGCCTGGCTCTATCGCCTCAAACCCGTTATACGTGTTTATATCCGTTGCAACGTTTATACCGGACAAATGCATGCAGCTACTTAAAGCTGTGCTTGGCAGTCTCAAAGCATGGCTAAAGTTCCCTGCATGTGGCGAGTGCGGGGGGTGAATGATTCATCAGAACTGCGATATCTTCGAATAGGTTGGTGTCTGGTTTGGGACTGGTCGTGTAGTACAACGGACACGAACCGACGTACTTTTGAAATAGCTGGTCCAGCCTCGGGGCTCTCGGACAGTCCTGCGGACTAGGTAGCCCCGCTGTAGTAGTTTGACAAAGTACGGATGAAGCCATATTGACGCTGGCAACCATACTGGGAGATTGTGGGATATCGGACATGACTGTACAGAGTAGAGTCAAGAAAATAGGGCAAATCCAAGGCGAAACTTCTATATCCAACGACTTCCCGAGGCTCCTGATGACGCGGATAGGACCCGGTCAGCCATTAGCCTGTTTAGGGGCCATGGGGCAATTAGTGGAGGAGCTAAACGGCTCAGCGCGGGGCTCATTGCGCATATGCAATAGGTGGGAGAAGATCATGGATGTACGAGACCACGTTAGCTGCAGCACTAGAGTCGGAATAAAAGTCTATGCCATTTCTGATTTGATGAAAAGAAAGAAATAGAGTGGATGTAAGGGAGAACCTTGGAGAGAGAAAGAGAGAGAGAGAGCTTCTTAAAGAGTCAGGTGTCCCCTTCCCGCTTTATTAATCTTTCCTCTCTCTCCCGGGTTCTTTCTACTTCTCGGCTTCTCCCATCTTTTTTTCTCTACTCTTTCTCCTCTCTTCTATAGTTTACCTTAACACCTTCCTAGCACACATCATTGCCGATACCATGCGTATCACCGTCAGCGTCATCCGCCCCGAGCAAGCGGACTCCGACATCATCAACCTAGAAGTAGGCGGCGATATGTCAATCGAGCTCCTCAAAGCTATTGTCGAAAGCGAAACTAGCATCCCACCCGAAGCCCAACAGCTCGTCTACAACAACCAGCTCCTCCAGAACCCCTCCCAAACCCTAGACCAAGCCGGCATCACCGAGGGCGATATGCTCGGTGTGCACGTCACCCTCCGAGCTCCCCAACCAGCCCCTCGCCCCGCCGCTTCCAGCTCCGTCGCGCCCAGGCAGAACGCTCAACCCCGCCCCGGCATGCCGGACCCCGAAACTATTCGTCTACACATCCTGGGTGATCCCCGCGTGCGCGAGGCTGTCCGCAGGCAGAACCCGGAGCTGTCTGAAGCCGCGGATAATGCTCAGCGCTTCCGTGAGGTCCTGCTTAGGCAGCAGCAGAGTGAGGCGCAGCGGGAGGCGGAAAAGGAAGCCCGCATTGCGATGCTCAATGCCGATCCTTTTAACCACGATAACCAGAAGGAAATCGAGGAGATTATTCGCCAGAATGCTGTTACGGAAAATCTACACAATGCCATGGAGCATCATCCTGAGTGTATGCTCTATGTCTTTTGAACTGCCTGCTAGGCTGCGGGAGTGAGAATGAAAGCTAACCAAAGCTGTTTCTCTAGCCTTCGGTCGCGTGACAATGCTCTACATCCCCGTGGAAGTAAACGGCCACCGTCTCAAACGCCTTCGTCGACTCCGGCGCTCAGGTGACTATCATGTCGCCCGAGTGTGCAACATCGTGTAACATAATGCGCCTGGTAGACCGTCGCTACGGCGGAATCGCCAAGGGCGTCGGGACCGCCCCGATCCTGGGCCGGGTTCACTCTGCCCAGATCAAGATCGGCGAGATGTTCCTGCCCTGCTCCTTCACCGTCATGGAAGGGAAGCAGATCGACCTGCTCCTCGGTTTGGACATGCTTCGCCGGCACCAGGCCTGCATCGATCTCCAGCGTGGTGCGCTTGTCATTCAGGACCAGGCCGTCCCCTTCCTCGGTGAGGGTGATATCCCCAAGCACTTGACTGAAGAGTTCGAGGCGGAACCTACGGTCAAGGGTGCCGATGGTGCCGAAGTGGGTGCCCGCACCGGCGCGGTCACGCATAAAGCGGAGAACAATCCTAATGCCAATGCCACCCCCAATAATGCATCCGCCTCCGGGTCCGGCGCATCAGGGTCACAGCCAAGAATCAATATCCGACCTGCGCCTACTTCACGGTGGCCGCAGGACTCCATCGCCAGGATCACAGAGCTGGGATTCTCGCGCGAGGAAGCCGTCCGGGCTCTGGATATGGCACATGGAGACCTGGAGGGGGCGATCGGGTTTTTGATTTGATCTACGGATGGGATTCCGCTTTCTGCATTTACATTCAAGGGCGTTTTGGTCGGGATGGGAACTTGGATTAGCGAGACTTGATCAAAGCACGTAATGATGTGTACGATTATAACGCTGGCTGCATTATAATAGATTGTGTTTATTTTCCTACAGGTACTTGTATACTTAAAGTACGTGAGTCCGCGGGGGTATATGTTTATTCGCGCTTGGTTTTCGGCATTAGTTTGTCGCGTAGGCGGAATACCATGTCTAGAGTCATGAACCCGCCTATAATATGTTAATAAGAGGTTTGCATTACCTGGGCAGCCCTGGAAAGCCAATTGCGACATTCTGTCGGACAACCTTAGATTGTACATACCTAGCGCCATATACGGAGCATACAGCATGGTAAGCTGCTGCTTCTCTGCGACCGAGCGGTCGGTCCAACTCCACACAACCACCAGAGATGTCAGCGTGGTGATGAAGGCTTGAATACCGAAGACGAGGAGATGCACGGGGACGAGGGGGTGGTCTAGATGAATTGGAAATTGTGTTAGTTGCTTATTGCGTCTTTTTCATTTTTTGTGATGCCATTCCCCTGTTCGGAGAGGATAAGGATATGTAGTCAGATTTCCAGATATTGCATTTGATATAGATATGTAATGGACATAATGGATATAATGGATATAAGATGTGATGTAGATGTAGGTGGTTGGGGGTGGACTGGACTGGATAGACAAGGATACAAGGATATACATAGTACGATGTACGATGTACGAGCATAAGCTTGAGGGGAGGAGAGTAAAGTACCTTTAAGCAAACCCCGAGCCGCCCATATCGAGATTGGGAGGTGGTACAGCAGCTCCATCCAGATGAAGACGGTGAACCATGTTGGGGGGTCTTCGAAGAATTTGTCGCGGTAGGTTGTTATGTAGAATTCGCGCAGCTGGTGGGAGAGATTTGTTTGGAGGAAGGATGGTAGGAGAGGGACTGTGTCGATTACTGTATGGTGTTAGTATGTGCATATGTGAGGTTATATGGAGATCTGCAGATAGAGAATCATACGGAGAATGATCGGGACATGAATGACGAAAAATAGGAGATAGGCCAAGTCCCGTTTACGAGTGCAGATGGACATGTTGGGATATGCTGGGTCATATGCAAAGCGAAGTCAAGGGATAAGACAAGGAATGTGTGAATGTGTGAATGTGTAGATGTGTAGATGTGTACTCCGTAGATGTTTGAGATGTTCTTGTTTAGGGGTAGAGAATATCAGGTGACCCAGGAACACATACTCCGTTATAGCTACTACATATAGTTGTATAATTGCTTTTTTGGAGATGTTAGTGTATATCTTAATATATTTAGACTTAGCCGAGGTTACTGCAACGTACTCCGTATATACATCCAACTTTGACTTGATCTCACCGCTGCTTCTCAATTTTAAGGTGGCCTGACTGGACACCCTCGGGGTGAGGATGAATCCGAGGGAATTATCAATATCCATGGGATATCCACATAGATTACATAGTAGACAAAGGACCTTGGGATGTCAAATCTCCTAAAAATTACATCACCGGGATAAGGTAGTCATGCATGAATGCATTGATACAGGGAAGTTCCTAGAGAACCCGGTTTGATAGGTCAAAAAGGCAGACTACAGACAGACTACCGGGATGTAGACCGCAAGATCGGGATGCCCTAATTAGCTCAGGACAGGGTGTTCTTCTTTTCCTTCTTTTTCTTTTTCCCTTCTTTTCCTTCCTTTTTGCCTAATTGCCTTATTACCTTGTTTTTTTTTTTTTCTTTTTCTCCATGGAGCTTCCTAAATAGTTCTATGTTGTACTTAAACCGAATCCCATAATCATAATCTCATGCATAGATCACGGCAGATAATGCAATTGCCATTCAGCCTGCATTATGCCTTATCTTCGAGGTATTCCCATTACATATGTATATAGCGGTGTACGGAGTACCGTCTTGGAAGCTTTTCGAAAGAAAAAAAGTGGGCGAACGGTCGTGGCACGGGGATTTGCAGTGGGAACGGTAGTGGATGGGATTGACATGGGTTAACGGGGGGGGATTTTTAGTTATTTTAGTTATTTTGGTTATTTTAACTTGAATAGGAATATTATTTCTTTTCATTATTATCTTATTATCTCTGACCGCTGTTCGAATCTCACCACTCGGAGATGAAGGGAATTGACTAGTGTTTTAGTTTGATGCATGGACTATACAGGAGAGTATAAACTACTATATATATAAAGAACCATCCCACTTTCTCTTCCCCTTATCCATCTTATCCATCTATTATATACTCCACTCATACATCTATACATCTATACATCTCTACATCTATATACAATGCCCTCCTCAGCCCCCCGTCGTCCAAAACAGCCAAAAAAGCAAGAACCAATCAGCTACGACATCAATATCCCCTACGTCGATGTAGACAAGCAATCCAAAATCTCAACAAAGTACCCCCAATACCTCCCCCTCTTGGGACCCAATCTGGTTCGAACCCCTCCAACCCTTCGAATATGAAGACCCAGCCTTGCGCGTCCGCAACAAATCAAAACCAAACCTGTTGCCCCCAACCGCAAAAGTCTCCCACATCCAGCCAAGCCTAGGAACAATCGTCGAGAACGTCCAGCTCTCAGACCTCTCCGCCGCAGGAAGAGATGAACTCGCCCTCCTCATCTCAGAGCGCAAGGTCGTCGCCTTCCCAGACCAGGACCTCATCGATGCAGGCCCAGACGCCCAGGAATCTTTCATGCGTCACTTCGGTAAACCAAACTACCAGCCCGTCTCAGGCTCAATGACAGATCATCCTGCTTTCCATATCATCCACCGTGACGGAAACAGAGATGAGATCGCCCGTTTCCTGCAGCAGCGTACCACAACCACCCTCTGGCACCAGGATGTCAGCTACGAGATCCAGCCTCCCGGCTATGTCATGCTCGGGCTCCTGCAGGGCCCGGAGGTCGGCGGTGATACCGTATTCGCTGCTACAGACTTGGCCTATAAGCGGCTCTCGCCGGCTGTCACGGCTTTCTTGGATGGATTGAAGGTTACGCATTCGTCGGCTAAGATGATTGCCCATGCCCGCATGACCGGTGGCTTGGTTCAGGAAGGATCCCGTTGATACGGTTCACCCGCTTATCCGGGTGCATCCCGTTACCGGGGAGAAGTGTATGTTTTTGAATGGGGAGTTTATTACGAGGATTGATGGTCTCAAGGATTCTGAGACTAAGTGGGTGTTGGATTTCCTCATGAATCATCTGGTTACCGGTCATGATTTCCAGGTCCGTGTGCGCTGGCAACCGAGGACAATTGTGATGTTTGATAATCGGTCGACTATTCGTGAGTTTTTTTTTTTTCCTTTTTTCTTTTTTCTTTTTCTGGACTTGGAATTGAGGACCTTGCTAATAAAACTTAGACTCTGCCATTGTTGATTACTTGGATGATGATTACGGTGCTAAGGCTCGTCACATCTTCCGCTTGATTGCTCTGGGTGAGAAGCCCATTCCTGTGTATGAGGAAGAGGATGAGGAGGATGAACAGTTCGAATAGACTGCATAATGTGATAGAATGGGGTTATGTCGGTGTTTCGGTTTTTATAGATTCTAATGAATTTTAATTCTTTTTTATTTTAATTTGTTCTTTTGGAAGATCGAAATATTGACTATGTATTCATTTGCGTGATCAGGGCTATACTCCCTGTATCTCAAGAAACCCATTTGACTTGTGAATTCGTTTTCATTACCACCCCACGCCTAGAGTTACAAAACAAAATCCCAGAACGCACCGATCCCTTAAAAGATCATATGTCAAAGTAAATCTCAGTCACCGCCACGCAGATCTGCAATGCTACATGGCCCACATCACCTCCTCAGCAGCAAACGCCACATTACCGTAGAATGTCATCGATCCGTGACCGCAAGTCATGAGCGATCTCCAATTGCTCCCCCACTAATGACACCGCTCTGTTGCAGGAGCAGCAGCATCTCAGACACACGCTCGGCAACGATATCCGAGCCGAAAACCATGCCGCCCAGGCGCACGGTCTCATGGAACCATCCAGTCAGCAGGTACAGCAGGTCGTGTGCAATCAATCGGCGGTTTGATCCGTGGAAGGGCGCCTCGTCGGTGTAGTACATCGTCTCCAGCACAGCGTACAGGGATTCGTGCGCCACGCCAAGATCTAAGAACAGATCCACCACCCAGGTCGCCGGGCCGACGTTACGCTGGAACTCCAATGCATACCGCTCCAGCATGGGGACGAGCTCGCGGATGGGGAAAATAGTCTCGGACATCCGCAGACGACTGCCGAGGCTGCGGACCTTGTCGATCACCGCTTCGTAAGGTTGCGGTGAGCCGCGTTGAACGGTGGCGTCATGGACCCCCCTGGATCAGGTGTTGCCAAGTTGACTTAACGTCGGCCGCATTGCGGTGGTCGGCTTGGTAGAAGATTTGGAGACAGATGTCATGGTAACTGGCGGAGTCGGCGTATTTGTTGAATAGCTAGAGCACGTTAGTATCCTGTTTTCATCTGATTTGAAGGAGAAATTAGGACTTACTGTACTAATATCCATCACTGGCCCGTCGACCTCGCGCAGTATCTCGGGTTTCCGCTCGGGAAGAATTCGCTCGTCATCCTTGAGTCTTTGGAGTAGATCATCCTGAATATTGGCCACGTCAATGAGATTCGAAATCTCTTGCAGCAGTCGCTGCCTTGATTGACGCCCGACGTCCGGTGTGAAAATCGAAGCGTTGGCACGGGCTTGACCAAGGTACTCAATACGACGACTCAATGGCAACACGAAAGCACTATTGGCCAGATGGAACTGAACCTGTGCAGTCTCGAAGAATCGCTGGGACTGGGCGTAGAACCGCCAAAGTAGATCGGCATGGCCCAGATCATCGTTCGACTTGCGCTGAAGGTAGGTGACCACAAATGGCGATTGCGTCTGCAGCAACCGATCGTTCCAGCCCTGCTCAAGGTACCAGTCATACAAACTCGTCAGGAACACTTCATCGGTGGAATCGGAGATCACGCCATAGGCCTCGTTCTGGCGTTTGGCAATAGTGGTCAACTGGCCATCAATGAGACCGGGATCAGATGCAGCCAATTTGTCAACCGCAAGCACGACTTTGAAGATGAGATCATAGCACTGCTTGCGGAAATAGAAGTACTCCTTGCGGGGGTCCTGGGTAGTTGTGAGCGTGAGCTGGCGCTGGGATCCATAGGGAATAAGGGGGATAAGCACCTGTTCGGGACGCTGATCCATAATCCAGGAATAGGCAAGGTTTGACTTGTCGGACCGAGCAGCAACGTTGAGGGCAAGCTGAATAGCACCTAGAGAAAGAAGAAAAAGAAACCAATCAGTACGAGACAGGAAAGACCACGCTCACACAGCATACCTGCAAAGAACTGGTTGGCAATGAAATTGTCCACAGCAGAAACCAGATAATCCATAGGTAGACATTCTGCCACCTGCTGGAAGAGATGTAGACTCTCGTTGAGCAAGTTGCGGCCCAGTTCCGTATTGGCACCGGCCTCGGTCGCGCGCTTCAGCATCTCTTGCGCCTTGAAAATCACCACATCTTCTGGACTGCAGAAACTGCCACATCGTCGTCGAAGTGCATCGGCCACGGTCTCGACGTTGGAACCCTTGGCAATGTTGCGGTTAACAATGCCCTTCACGAGTTCCTTGGCAATGTCATGTCCCTTGCTGGAGCTAAACAGTTCCTCAAAGGTGAGGCTGAGGAACTTTGCTTTCGATTCAGCTGGCAAAGTAGCCACAATCTCATCAACCCGCTCATCGAAGAGAACGAGTATAAATGAGATACCTTCAATCGTGTGCGACACCAACTGAACGAGTGAGTGTAATGCGCGGTGCTCGGCTTGCAGCGCCACTTCTTCTTGCTTGCTGTTTACCCGGGCAAGAGCGTCGGGGCCGTTGAGCCCATCGATAAAGGTCTTGTTCACCTTGAAGAACTCTGCCAGCGAGGAGAGGTCATGTTGGACAGCCTGCAGCTTACTGGAACTCACGGACGCTGAAACGGACTGTGCGCCGTTAGGTCCATTGCCCACCTTAGCAATTTTCTCCTTCCAGATAGATCGCAACAGACGGGCGATGTATAGTGCGATTCCCGTGTGGCGAGGAGAGGGCTGCACTGCGTCAAGAGCGGAGGTTGAGCCATCCGCAATAGCATTTTCATTCAGATGGGCTCGGCCACCTTGGGTGATGAAGGCCTGGCGTGCTGCAGCAAGGACATCCGGGTCGGTAATTCGGGTCAGTCTTTGGTCAGGAGAAATCTCCATACCCTGGCCACAAGCCACGGCTAGAGCAGTTGCCAACATTTCGCTCCGTCCATATGTTCTAAGGAAATTTTGGATCTCGCCGGTAAGTCCCTCATGGGGGTTGCCGCTGCTGCGGAGCAAAGCCGCGAAGATATCCACGAGACGGCGCCGACGAATGATATGAACACCGCCATTAGTCAAGATCGCAATCTCAGCAGCTGGGTGGTCGAATTGAACGGCCAGTTCGTTGGTCACCGGCGAAGGTGCCGAAACCAGACCAATATCCTCTGCCTTGCCTCCCAGGTCCAGGATGATAGCCGACTCAGCGGCCTTACCACTGACCGAACTTTCCTGGTACTGAGCGACCCGACCAGAGTCGGGGGTTGAGATGAAAAGTGTGTCAATCTTTTGCTGTGCATCCTTAGTAGTGAAACAGAAGAAATAGCCTGGGGAATATCGCTCGGCAAGACGAGTGGGTGAAAGTGTGGTAATCTGACCAGCAGAAGGGGAAACCGCGCCAAGAGGTGAAGCAAGTGAGATGGAAGGTGCCACCCCGCTCACACCGGGGGAGATATCAACGGGCGGTGTCTTGACATGCAGTGCCTGCATACTTGTGGGAGGGCTAGTGTTGGTCGAGGCAGGCGCCCAACTGTTTGAACCAGTGGCGCTGAGATAGATGCGATAGCCGGTTGCTGTCGTTGCAACTAGATGATACCGCGACGCTTCTGTGGCTGGCACCGGACTGATTGACACAATCTTGATTCTGGGGTTGAGGGTTTCGTTTGAGGTGATGATGTGCCCGATGTTAGAGTAGATATCTAGAGCGCGTTTGGTGATTGCGAGTGTCAAAGTGTTCTCAGGTCCCATGTGGAACACGCGAATTGTAGACGAGGAGGAGAGTGTGTAGAGCAAGTTCCGGCTGTCGTCAAGTGCCATCTGCACTACATGCTCGGCGGCGCTTTGTGCAAGATTTGTCAGGCTCATCGAAGGCCTGAAAGCGGATAGACGGGAGCTGGTATGGTTGACTCTGCCACAGCGGCCCTGGAACCACCTTTCCTCCTGTTGGTAAGTGACCTCGTGTACATCAGTGTCAGACGACCCTCCAAAGAAAATGCGTCCGGTGGATGGTGATGCTGCAAAAACATTTATATCCAAGCCACGGACTGCCACTGACATCCCCGTGTGATACAGAGAAACTTGTCGACCTCCACTGGGCGTGTTTTCATAGCCCATTCCCAGCAGAATGATGTCCGCAGTCGTCGCAATGACCAACAAATGGGTGATCGCAGGCAAGAAAACTCCCGAGCGCGGTTTGGTCAGCTTTACAGCATTGATGCTGTTAGGCTGTTCCTCGAATCCCACCAATTGCGGGTTGGGATGTGTGAAATCCCAAATGTACAATGCATTATCAATCGCGACCCACGCGTGGTTTAACTCAGCGAACAGACCCATGCTGGTCGAAACTTGTGCGCGGTTGTATTGATCGAAAATCTGGTCGGGGATATCGTACATTTTGACTTTTTGGAATGGTGCCCATGATTGAGATACGGGGATGTTGTACTCAGACGAGGAGCCCTCTGTTTTTGGTCAGTCTCGCTTCAGACAGTCTCAATTGATGAATCTCACGGGATAGATAGCTATCAAGGTCCGGATAACGCGATTCGCTTTGCAAGCTGCTATTGATCGTTCGCGCCCCGCGTTCCTCGGTGCTCACTGTTTGATTTTTGGTCTTCGAGGCTGCTGGAGGGAGCTTTGGCATGGGCGTCTGGGGTTGAGTCTGCAATGGCGACTTGGGAGGGAGAGGCCGTGCTGTAGCTGGTGCCGGGGTCTGAAAGTAAGCTCCAGGAAGGGGTTTCTGCGGCGTCGCCGGAGGGAGATTTGTTGGAAGAGTCGGGTACGACATGGCGGCGGTTTTGAGGGGAGAAAGGGAGGATCTCCCGCTAGAAAGCACAAAGAAGCTGCAGTGTAGGTAGGACGAGAAAAAGAAAGTAAAAGATATTTGGGGGAATGACGATGAGAGAAGGTCTTGGGAGGAGATTGGATTATTCAAGGTCTTTGCGAAAAGAGAGAGTCAACACCTGGGAGCGCACAGACCAATTGGGAACTTCCGCTTTTACGGTTATTGTTGATTGTCTCCCCATTCAATGTTCCCATTGATCCTCAATTGAGCTTGTTTCTTATTGTCTAAACTTGTCATTGAACTTGTCAATCAAAATGTTTCAATCCATTCGTTTTTCTTCGCGCCTACCAGCTCGCCTGGTACGGTGGAATTCCACCGGTCCGGCCCTGCCACCCTTGATGGCTACTTTGCGGACTGACCTGAAAACTGCTATGAGAGCCAAAGACACCACAAGGTAGAGAAGCTTTTCCACTTATGTTTTGGAGGTTCAGCACGCTTATTCTCAGACTGAATGTACTTCGTGCTCTGATCTCTGAGACCAACAACGCCGCCAAAACCGCCTCGCCAATTCAAACAGACATTCAGCTCTTGTCGCTAATCCGGAAACGCCTGAACGCCTCTAAAGATGCGGCAAAGGAGTTTGCTGCCGCTGAACGTCCAGATCTGAAGGAGAAAGAAGACGCACAGGTTGTGGTATTGGAGGAATATGCTAGTCAGGTCAAGACCCTCCCCATTGCCGAGATTAAAGAAGTGGTCATCAACGAGATCGCTGCTATGGTTAATGCCAATACGAAGCCCAACCAAGGAACCGTCCTCAAAGCTCTGTTTGCTCCAGGAGGCCCTCTTGATGGCAAGCCAGTGGACCGGAAAGAAGTTGCTACTGAGGTGAAGAACGCGCTCTCTTGAGCTTACATTTACCAGATTGTATATTAGTGTCACAATAGCCTCAGTCAAGGGCATCCAAATCACATTTATAATTCACAGAAAGAACGAATACCAAACTCCTCTCCAACGCCAGCCTGAAATGTTCATGAGCAGAAGAAAGCTACTCCTCCAAGAGATGTCATCAGAACACCCAACCACCACCATCGGTCTGGATTGACCAGCTGTTCTCTCGCGATCAGATGCAATCCCGACTTTGAGGACAGTTCTCGCTTTTGCTTATGCCCCGTTGGCATGGGGTTCAAGGTCGTGGTAGGGAGCATCTTTGGTGGCTGGTAGGCGAGGAACATGGGATGGACGAGTGAGCCATCAAACTTGGTCAGATCGAGGCGTTTAATGCGATTGAACTTGTCAATACCCACGGAAAATTCCTGTGTCTTGTCAGAATGAGTCGGCGGAGAGAACATGAAAGAGATGTACCTTGAACTCCTCGGTAGTGTTATATCGTGTGTATTGGCCTGACTGTTGCCGGCAGGGGTCGGACACTAGCTGACGGCCATCGACAGCAATTGGAGTCAGTACCAGCGTTCCGTTGCCGAACACAGTATAAGAGCCATGTTGCCACTGCATAATCCCTCCCGGGCATGAGGGATCGACCGCTATTCGACATTAATACAGAGCCGGAATCTATATCCATTGGGGACTGACGATTTGAGATTGCGCGATAGTATGCAGATTCATAATTTCCGTCATTATCAAATGAGTATGAAATGCCCGTTAGATTGGGCTCGAGCAGTTTGTCGTTGAGCGGATCGTAGAATCCCTATAGGAGTTAGTCTCGAGTTATTCGTATACTACCTACCTAGGTTAGATATCCACATACTGGACCGGTAAGAACATCACGAGATTTGGTAGTCCATGTCCCCACCAAATCATTCGCGTTCGCCAAAGCGGCTGTGACCAAAAGACCCCAAATCAAAAACATCTTCGTTGACAAAGAGAAAATTGACAGAAAGGGAGTATTTGAAGGGCGCCCTTTATTGGGGTGGAGACAAACATACCTCAGGCCCTGGAATGGGGAAGGGTTTGGTTGAATAGGCTATCAAGGGCATCAGTTTACAATTAGACATACACTGGTAGTGTCAACTATATTGTAGTGGTTATCACTGTGGTTTTGAAAATAATGCCTTTTCTTTTTTCCCCGTCTTTTTTTTGGGGGTTCTTTTTTTTTGCACAGTAACTTAACGGCGTGAACTTCCCCGCGGATTGGCGTATTTATCATCTACAACTATCTTAACAACATGGCGTTCCAGGCTGCAAAGCGCGACCTCCGCAAGAGGATGCGCTCGACTCTGCAGAGTCTGTCTGCAACCTCCATAAGTCAACAATGTCAGATCAAATGATGGTCTTTGGGTTGTCCATAACTAACCTGTCGCAGCCAGCGCGGCAACAACCACTTTCTTGTCACTTCCCGAGTACCAAACCGCCAAAAGCATCGCCGTATACCTGTCAATGCCAAGCGGTGAACTCTCAACGACTGGAATCGTAAAGGATGCTCTACAACGTGGGAAGGACGTCTACATCCCGTATATTCACACCCAGGACAAGACATCCATCATGGACATGTTCGCGCTCGGGTCCGTATCCGAGTTCGAGTCATTACAGCGAGACAAATGGGGAATCCCATCTCTCCTATCTACGCAAATCGAAGGTCGACCGAACGGATTGACACAGGGCTTGGATCTTATTGTCATGCCGGGCATGGCCTTTGACCACGGGTTCCGACGACTTGGTCATGGCAAAGGGTATTATGATCATTTTTTAACGCGATACTCAAAATCGACCCGCAAAATGCCATTCCTCGGTATGTATCCCAGAAACAATTCATTTATCCCCGACTGAACTCCATGGTAGTTGCCCTTTCTCTCCAAGAACAGTTGCTCGCTGAGGATATTCCTGTGGTGGAGCACGATTGGTTGGTTGATGCCATCGTGGTTGGCGATGGTCAATTCTTGAATCGCAGGGCGTAGCGCAAATAGAAACAGAAAAGGAATAGCGAAAATTCAAACGGCCTGGATCAGAGAGACATTGTCTCCCTTGAGGAGGATCTGGCCTGTTGCGCATTAGTTAGCTGTGTTCTCGTGAGACTCCATTTCAATTTCAACGTACCTAGTGGCCTGCGCTTCTCTTCCTCTGTCTTGGTGGCCAGGCGCACTTCGACGGCGTCGTCAATGACCAGGTTCATGAATTCATCAAATCCCTAGCACAGGTTAGCTCAGATGACAACCAAAACGGGATCCCGTAAAGAAACACATACGCGGATCTTCCCCTCTATCCGGAAAGCGAGCTGCTCATATAGCCAGATGGAAACAGTGCTGCGTTTCTGCAGGAGACTGAAAATGAAGTGGATTGGAGCCAACAATGTCTTGCGGCCTGCCATGATGTGCGGTTATGTCGAAAGTGGTAGCTGTCACACGGGAGACGAGGCGAAGAAAGCTCTGGCGGGCCTGGCAGCCGTCCCGTGATTTGATTACGGTAATACGGTTATCTCGTCACGGCCACCCCATCCCACCTTCAACTTGCTCCCCCTCTTCGAACCCGTTTCCGCAGTCAGATGCTGATACATTTTTGATCCATTGCTGAGCCTTGATTAATCCATTCAGTTCAACATGGCCAGCAAGGAAGCCGGGCAGGCATTCGCCCCGGTCCTGGCGGCCGTCGCGACAATGCAAGGAAATGTGTCTCGGACTGAGAAGACTCAGGCACATGAATTCCTTGAGAAATTCCAGAAATCGGTACGCTTCTTTCGCTTCGAATTAACTTGTCCCTTTCGCTGATCTTCTATGCATCTTTAGATTGAGGCCTGGACAACAACCCATGCTCTATTACAGTCACCCGATGTGCCGGTCGAAGCCAAACTATTCGCCGCGACTACACTGAAAGGAAAAGTAAGGGTACTTCTACCTGATCGTCTTCACCGTTTCTAATTGCGCAGATTATATTCGATCTCGATCAACTCCCTCCGGACTCAGTTTTGGCCCTTCGAGATTCGGTTCTAAACCTATTGGTTGCATTTTGCGCCGGGCCCGCGCCCTATTCAGACCCAGCTATGCGTGTGCTTGGCCAGTTTGGCGATTCAGATGGTCACATGGAAGGATGTTCTAGCGACTGTAGGAGCAGCTCTAGGAGGCAGCGCGGGGGATTGTGTTCTGGAGTTCCTAAAGATCTTGCCCGAGGAGGTCACTGAGGGTCGCAAAATCAATCTCAGTGTATGTTTCTGCGATGATGCTTACGAAGATTGAAGCTGACATTTACAAAAGGAAGACGAATTGGTCGACAGAACCAAGGAGTTGCTAGAAGACAATGCAGAGCAGGTCATGCAGCTGATGATCCAATACGCTCAATCGTCGCGTACGTATCCAACAACCACGTCCCATTCTCTTCGCGAATTAGGATCCATAACTGACCATAAACAGCTGCTGCCGCAACAAACCCCCGTCTTCTCGACTGCATTACTTCGTGGCTACGTGAAATCCCCGCCGCCAAGGTCGTTGAGTCACCTCTCATGGACGTTATCTTCAAAGCCTTGGACAACGATGCGTCTTTTGACGCCGGTGTTGACTGCGTTTGCACGCTTTACCGCGACACAAAGGACGTGGACGAGTCGTTGCCCGTCATTCAAGCCCTTTATCCGCGATTGATGGCACTTCGCCCAAAAATTGCCGAAACTGCCGAGGCCGAAGATTTGGAGGCTTTCAAGGGTATCACAAGAATGTTTGCGGAGGCAGGTGAAGCATGGGTTGTCCTTGTTGCACGCCTGCCGGGTGAGTTCCAGGGACTCGTGGAGGCGCTTCTCGAATGTTGCGCACGGGACTGGGAGCGCGACGCAGTGTCTCTGACTTTCATTTTCTGGTACGAACTGAAGCAGTATATTACTCTCGACCGGTACACCGATGCTCGAGTCGCGTTCCAGCCCGTCTTTGCCCAGTTGGTGGACATCATGGTGAAACACCTCGAGTTTCCTACTCCGGAAGAGGGCGAAGGGGAGGATCTGTTTTCTGGAGACCGCGAGCAGGAGGAAAAATTCCGCCAATTCCGCCATGCAATGGGCGATGTCCTTAAGGACTGCTGTGCTGTTGTGGGCGTGAATGATTGTCTTGCTAAAATCTACCAACTGATCCAGGAGTGGGTTGCCAAGTATGCATCGCAGGCAAGCAACGAGCATGTTCCTCATTGGCAGGAACTGGAGGCCCCTCTGTTCGGCCTCCGCGCGATGGGCCGTATGGTCGATCCCGAAGAAAGCACCATTCTTGGACAATTGATTCCTCTGATCGTTCAGATTCCTGACCAGGAGAAAGTGCGGTTCCAGGCGATCATGGCGTTGGCACGCTACACTGAATGGACAGCCCTCCATCCCGAAACATTGGAGGCTCAGCTCAACTATGTGATTTCCGGTTTCCACCATTCCTCCCAAGAAGTTGTGCAGGCCTCTGCTCTTGCCTTCAAGTTCTTGGGAACAGACTGCCAGAAGTTGCTTGGCGGTCATATCGCGCAGCTCCATACCTTCTTTGAATCGGTTCTTGACAAGCTCAAGCCCACCAGCCAGGAGGAAGTCACTGAAGGTGTTGCCGCAGTGGTTTCGGTGCAGCCCCATGAGAAGATCTATGATTCATACAAGATGTTCTGCGACCCGATCATGGCCCGAATTATGAACCTTGCCAATAATGCGCAGACTGAAGAGGACCAGCGAGCCGTGGCTGATCATCTACAGCTGATCACTATTTTTGTGCAAGTGGTGACTCCGATTCTTGCACCGGGAGAAGAAAACCCTGCCGTCAAATACTGCGGTGAGGTTCTACCCATTATGACCACGATTGTCATGAACTTTACGTCTTCTACGCCTATTCTCGAGCGAGTTTGCCGATGCTGGCGATACATGATCATCTCTTACCGCACTGGCATGATCCCTCTTTTGCCGACTCTGGCCCAGAGTATCGCGAACGGATTCCAGGCCTCGCGCGAGGGTTGCTTCCTTTGGGCCACGGATGCGGTGGTGCGCGAATTCTCCGATGGTGCCGAGTACGTCGACCAGGCCACCAGTGATGCCGTTTTCCAGTTCTATGAGCAGCAGGCCATTGCTTTCCTACGGATCTTGAACGACCTCCCCCCACAAAATCTGCCAGATGTGATTGAAGACTTCTTCCGTCTCTCCTCTAACGCCGTTCGATACTACCCCAAGAAGTATATCACTTCGTCCCTTGCCGTCCCCATCTTCTCCGCCGCCCTCAGTGCTCTCACTCTTCAACAACTTGACCCTCTCATCGCTACGCTGCATTATTACCGTGATTTGTTCAGCTTTGCATTCGACAAGCCTATGGTCTCCCAGTTCACCAGCCCTGAAGGCCAGCCTTACGTTACCCCGCCTGAGGTTCGCGAGGCCGTTAAGACGTTGATTATCTCGCAAGGCCAGCCTTTGGCGCAGCGTGTGTTGACGGGCATGATGTTCACTTTCCCAGGCGACTGCTTCCCTGATGCGTCGGGAGTTCTGATGACGATGTTCGAACTACTCCCCCAGGAAACTGGGGCATGGCTGCAGACCACACTCCAGATGCTGCCGAGTGGCACTATGAAGCACGGCGAAGCCGAGCGACTGCTGAAGAATGTCTCTGACAAAGTCCAGTCAGGAGAGACCCGCAAAATCCGTGTTCTCCTCCAAGGTTAGTCAAGTCCCCACGTCCCCTTATTCTTTATTGCCTCATCTAACCCCACCTAGACTTTACCAACTCGTATCGCCGCCGCAATGTAGCACCACGCGATGGCCTTGGCCGTCTGGAGGCCGCCCGATTCCGTTTCAGTGGATGAGAATGTTGCTGTAAATTCTTCGGTGCTGATCAGCACTAACAAAAAAGAAACCCACGGAAGCATTTGCACAAAATCTGGCGTCAGTTCTTTGCTATTGACGTGCCAAATGGTACGATACACGATGGGATGGCATGAACTCGGTGTGATGATTAATGACCTGCTGGTACGCCGGCCTGACCAGAACCTTTCTGGCTTTGACATTGCTGCCAGATGTTGTACGAGCTCGACCTGTATCTAGGTATTCAATAGTCGCGACTCATTTCTGTGAGATGCGTTGGCGCACTCTCTGTGCGTGTGGTCATTTGATTACGAGTAATGAATCTATTGAGCATCAATGTCCCATTGGCATATGGTTCTGGTACATGTAGGGATACTATGTTTTACTATCCTGTATAGAAGAATAGGTCAACTCTAGGCATATAGACATTATACGAATAATTAACTAGGCCTCTTTATATGTCTACTATAGATGTAGAATAATACAAGTGCTATATTCCTCACAATACTATATACTATACAGCATATGTTTATACCTACGCAGTCCAGTCTCTCACCAACAAAGTCATCTCCGCCAATAACCTTGGAACCCCACCGAGATCTCCGCACTTCCCCCGGACAACCCTCTCCAAGTCCCCTTCGCGCTTCATTCCTTGACTCATTTCTGTTCCCTATTGGGCCCTTTCTTGTCCAGACATTTTTTTCCAACTCCACATTCTAGTGATCATCGTACCATGGCATGAAAAATGGAGATCGACGGTCAACCCTCCAAAAGACGGCGACGCAGTCGCAAAGTTCAGTCAGATCGCAAGTTTGAATGCACATTTGAAGGCTGTGGGAAGAGCTATTCTCGTGCCGAACACCTTAGTCGTCATGCGCTCAACCATACCCCGAAACAAATCTATCGCTGCGACTTTCCCAACTGCTACCGATCCTTCGTGCGACAGGACCTCTGCACGCGCCATCGTGAACGTCACACTACCAGCGGTTCCCAGCTCCAGAAACGAGATAATTTCACCGAAAATGGCACGAAGAATTCCCCGCCTTCTTCGCCTGCTATCACCGCGCCGGAATACTTTGTTGGCTCAGAGGAGCCCAAACCTCCGGTGACCACATACCCCCTCACCACCGGAGTGGATAGCAATGAGATAGCGGTGGACCAATTCTCAGATTTCCCAGCGGTACTGGACCAGCCTGATAATCTGATCGATCTAGACTCCATGTCCTACCCGATTTTTGGCGGGGAAACCTATAACCGATCGCCATTCGCCATGGCGGACGATTTTGCAGCGTGGTTATTCAGCGAGCCAGTCGCGCCGTTGGGCTATGGAATGGTACCACTTGTTCAGAATCAGTTCTACATGAACGAGCCTGCATATAGCAACCAAAATTTTTGCTCCGTGATTCCACAGCACCCGATGAGCGTAACGAGTATTTTGGACTCGGGAAGCACCACCGGCTGTCATCTCGGAAGCGAAGCGGCAGGAGCTGCTGCACTTGATGTCCACGCGATTCAATGAATCGGCGTATGCGGCAGGTGCTAAACGCAAAGATGCATTGATGGACGGGGATTTAAATGACGACCGACATGCCTTGAGCTTGCGCATGATGCAGACGTACATTGGATCCTATTGGTACCACTTCCACGCACAACTTCCAATATTGCATCAGCCGACATTTAGCGCTGATCGTATCCCGAATCTATTACTACTAGCAATTATGGCGATTGGAGCGGCAACACTGGATAAGATTCATGGGCAGTCTGCCACCGAAGCAGCGGCTGAATTGGCTAGTTTCATCGCCTGGCATTTACGTTGGGAAATCTTCATGGATGCGGACTTTCGGCCGCCAGCTAAGCTTTGGGTGTTCCAATCTTTATTACTGCTTGAAGTTTACGAGAAGCTCTTTTCTACACGCGCATTACATGAACGCGCTCATATCCATCACGACACAACACTCACGCTTATGCGCCGAGGTAGTTCGCTCATCGGTAGTTCTTCATTTGCCACCCCGGAAAGCAAAGAAGAAGACGAGTCATGGTCAACCTGGATCAAAACCGAAGCGACTCGGCGCGTGGCATTCGCCGCCTTTGTGTTGGACTCAACACATGCTACCATGTTCGGTCACTCGGCCAAAATGGTGGCCCATGAACTCCGGCTGCCATTGCCGTGTGACGAGGCGCTGTGGGCTGCAACAAGCGCCGCCGAGGTCGCTCGCGTGCAATCCAGTCTGCAGTCGCACGGCGTGCGGCCAATCATGTTCCTCGACGGACTCAAGCGCACACTCAATGGCCAGCCCGTCCGGACCAACGCGTTTGGGCGAATTATTATCATGTCGGGCTTGCTGAGCGTCTGCTGGCATCTGAACCAGCGAGACCTTCAGATTAGCTCGCTCGGTGTGGGCCAGACCCTCGGCGGACGAGACAAGTGGCGGACAGCACTTCTCCGGGCATTTGATAACTGGCGCCGCGATTTCGACGAGGCCCTGGGGCCGTCGACCACATCCGAGTCGCGCAATGTGTTGCATGGGCTGGCCCATATGGGGTCCCATGTCGATATAGCCGATTTGCAGATCTTCGCAGGTGCGGGCCGGTTAATGGGCCGGTCTATCACAGCGCGTGACTATTCCGCCGCACGAGAAAAGACTGAGAAATGGGCGACCAAGGCTTCGGCGCGGGATGCCACATTCTACGCACTCAAGTTCCTAACTGCGTGTTTCTTGGATCCGGCCACCCAGCCTGGCGAGTATGCTGCGCGCGATGACTACTTGTTAAACCGGCCATGGGTTATGTATTTTGCAGCGCTGGTGGTATGGACCTATGGATTTGCGTTGGATGGACCCTTGCGTCCTCCCCCTATTCTCCTGACTGTGGCCGACCGAGAGCGCGACATGCAGGGGTTTTTGCATCGTGTGGGCGGAATCCAGGAACCTAACGAATTGGAGGCTATGAGCGGACGCAATGGGTGTCTCGGTCTGCTTATGATTCTCCGAGACTCCTTTGCCAAACCGCGGTGGGAGTTGTTAGGAGAGGCGGCGCGGCTGCTGGACAGCTGCATTGCAAAGCTGCAGTCGTAGCATGTATGATGTGTTTATATATACCAAATATTTATGTTACTATTATTTTATTTTCATTTTCTGACAGTAAAACATGCAAGTATGCAAGTACATATGCACTATATACAACATAAGTATACAACCCCCCTAAATACGCCTCGTAGCGTTGCCCTAACAACCACCGCCGATCCCACATCAAGTTCCCCCCCCGACCTTCACCTCCTAATCTGCATTTTTGTTTCCAATCTCCAATCTCCAATCTCTAAACTATCCAACCAAAATGGTAAGTCGCAGATTCCTCATTGTTGATGGACTTCCTATTCAAGCGGTCCAACCGCCACCCCTTTCCGCCTATGTAACCACGGAATTGCCCCCCCGATCTTCCCCCTCATCTACAACTGTGTCATCAAAACACTGCTCTTCCATCATGGCTAATAACGACCAGGCCTCTACAAACTACAAGGAAGCGTTCTCGCTCTTCGATCGCCGTGGTACTGGCCGTGTCGCTGGTGACCTCCTCGGTGACTTGCTCCGCGCTTGCGGTCAGAACCCTACGCTGGCCGAGATCAGTGACTTGGAGAAGTCTGTCGGTGGTGACTGTATGTTCTGATTCCGCTTGATTGTTGGTAGATGCGACAGCGTCTGACCATCGATGAAAAGAGAATCCCTGGCTAATTCGTTCCCTCTTATCTGTCTAGTTGACTTCGACTCCTTCCTGAAAGTCCTCAACCGCCCCGGTGGTTTCCGTGAGCCCGGCGAGCCGGAGGAGTACTGTCGTGGATTCCAGGTCTTTGATAAGGATATGACAGGGTTTATTGGTGTCGGGCAGCTGCGCTACAGTATGTTTTGCCCCAGTCAATATGGATGAATGCGGTTGGAAAGGATATGGCTAACATTCGGCACTTGCAGTTCTCACGAATCTTGGCGAGAAGATGTCTGACGATGAAGTCGATGAGCTGCTCAAGGCTGTTGACACTAGCTCCGGCGAGATTAACTACACGGGTATGTCTGCCGTGGGAGCCCAGAATGGGCTATATGTTCACTGCATCTGCTAACTCTCTCTCCAGATCTTGTCCGTACTATCCTCGCCAACTGATACCCCGATATGATTAACGTTCGATATGGAAATGGCTTTGGCTTGAGGGATTGAAATTCGGCGCGTTGGAACCTTCATCTTGTATGTTTTTTTATTCTCAAATACACTGTATTATTCTGCTCCGGGTATCGCCTTCCGTAGAAATGTAGATATAGACCTGTACATCCGTACCTGCGTAGATTGTCCATACCATAGTCCACATTCAGATCTAAACAGCCCACTCTCTCCACTCCCGCTCCCCAACCCCCCTCACCCCCCACTTCTCCGTCTCCACAACAGCCCCGGGAAGAAGATAAACAGCCGGCGGCCGCTCCTCCTCCTCTCCATCTCGCGCTGCTGCCCGCTCTCCAGCAGTCCAATGCACCCGATCCAAATAATACCCCACAACAACCTTGCACCGCCCACACCTCAAAAGAATTCTCTTCTCAATCCCGTCTTCGCGCCGGATCATCGTCGCCCGCCGGTCCGGGATCGTAGTGGCCAGAAGGAGCGTCGTATGGTTAGAGGCGTGTCTTGCTTTGCGCGACGGCGTTTCTGTTGCCTTGGCTTCTTCTTCGAGATCGGCTTCCACTTCCCCGTCTGTTGAGCTCTTGCGCTCGAGTGGCAAAATCAGCGCTTTGTCTTTGCTTTCGCCGCCGCGTCGTGGGAGTGTGTTTATGTTGCGTGTTGTTGCTAGTAGGAGGTGGTTGCAGAAGCGGCAGTGTTGGGTTTGGATTGGGAGGCGTTGGTCTGTCATTTTGGGGGTCGGTGGTGATTGACTATTGCTTGGAGCTTTGAGCTAGCAGGGGCCTAGTGCTAGATGGTGCGCACAGGCAGATCAAGTGCAATGTCGGTGATGCGAGTCGAGAGCTGTCTTGGTCAGTCTTTTGCGCCGGGTTTGAGTGGGAATTATGTTTCTGCTGGACGTAGCTCGGTGGGTGCGTACCGGCGATTCACGTATTTAATCCGAGACTTTGTGCTCTCTTGTACGTAAGGTTTCTAAATGAGGCAAGAAAAAAAGAGAGCTGTTGAGTTGCGGAGAAGTGCAGAATGGCAGGGCGGTGTGCTTATCAGTATATCAACTGTCCACGAATAGCTTCAAGTTTCTTAAAGTCCAAATGTTGTTATTATTCGAGCCTTGATATACTCGGTATTTCTAGTATAATAATTACCTAGGTAATAGGATTTACGCGACTAATTGAAGATATGTCGGTAGGATTCCCCCAAATCCTCGAACCAAGACCTAGCTACCTAGGTACATAGGTAGTTGTATCTACCTATGTAGGTAGCTAGGTCGTAGTTTCTAGCTATTATAGGCTTTAATTTAAGAAAAGCGACTTACATAAGGCCTTAACCAAGCTTGACTTCTCAGCATCACTTTGGCGGTACGGCTTCTTAACTGTCATATCGTATGCCCCACGTCTATAAAGCTTAATCGGGAGTCTCCAGTCCATTAGGATATCGTTGGTAAAATTAGTTATATAAGGGAAAAATATAAAATTAACAGAGGTGCCGTCGACACGAATTTTGGAGGCGCAAGGTCAAGCCAATTACATGGGCATTTTTACTCGACCCCCAAAACGGCCTCGACTCATCTGCAACCACAATAGTTTTCCTTCCGTCTTTTCAACTCACGTCTTCTTACGTCAAATTTTGACATCAATGTCGCAAGCAAACATACTCAGAGCGTACAAGATAATATCCAAAAGGAAGATTTGCAGAGATGTTCAGGAAACCCCGACAGGTCGCACCTGACGCCATATCTTCAGGATTCAGTCAAATACTCAAGCCTCTACCGGTCATAACGTGGGGACAGCTTGCAATGTATCATTTGGATGTCCCAACTATAGCAGGTGTGAGTACATATGTATTTCCTTTCTTACTATTTAGTCTTAATTCTTACTGACTATCATGGCAGCATCACATGTTTGTTGTCCGAGACGAACATCATCAGACGGCGATTCAGAAGCTCAAAGACTCTGGATTCACTCAAGCCCCTCCTGATCGCCGGGCAGCCCCTGAAATTATGGAATCTCTTCCAGATCCGCAAGCCGTCCTTGATGAGATTAACAAGGGCTACGAACGCCTAGACCGTTATTGCACCTCATTCCAGTTCCCGCCTCACCTTCCGTTCAGCGGGGGCCAAATCTTCTTAGTCCCTAACTCCTTTGCGCATTTACCACTAGACAATGTCGACATGACTTCAAATCAACCAAACGAGAAGACTCAACCAAAGCAATATGAAGTGTATGACAACTTATTCTATCCGCCTGAAGCGGCATTGGTTGAGAGCTTCGTTAAAGGAGTCATTCATGACATTGACGAGGTTGGATATTCGTTGTGGCAGGGGCTACTAAACGCCTGGATATCAATGATGCGGGGCTATCTCGAAGTCAACAATGATATTCTTGATGACTGTGCGGATGAGCGGGCAGTAAAATGGTATAGCACGCATTTTGGCCGGATTCACGAAGACCAGCATGGTGCATGGGACCTCCGGGTTTCAAAACGCCTTGGTTCTGGAAGAGAAATGCCAGTGGACATGAGGGGAAATCCTATCCCCTGATACTTCTACTGCTTAAGGAGGCCGGCGATGAGTTGTAAAATTCAGATACAACATAACTGAAGTAACCCACCGTGACGCCGCGAGTACAGAAGCGCCCCTGGCCGTGGGAATTGGCATACGTGATGCTAAGGCGGGAGTTAGGCTCGTAAAACGGCATCGAATGCTGCCGAAAATGGCCGCCTGCTAGCCGTCACATCATTGAATAAAGTTACGGGAGTAAGGCCTGACTACTCGGGTTTTGCTATCTAATATATGTATTAGATACTAATACTATATAGTTAACTCTTACCTAGGTACGGAGTACTAATTCATAAGCTCCGATAGCTGTGAATGCTCCACCTTTACGCCAGTCCCAGGTCCTTATAGAATGCATCAGTCTGAGGCTCACGGCCCAGGAATTCAGTCAGAGTCTTCATCTCATCCTGGCTACCGCCCTTCTCCAGAACCTGGTAGCGGTACCGACGGCCAGCAGCCTTGTTCATGGGATCGTCCTTGAAGACGGTGTAGAACATGTCGGTGGAGTAAACTTGGGAGCTGCAGAGCAAAATCATGAGTGTCTGAACAACATTGAAACCAACCAGACAAAATCAACTTATAAACTTACCTCAGGTATCCGTAGTATCCAGCGTCGTAACCTCCGATCAAATGTCCGAAGGTCGCCTCGCCATGGCCCCACTCGCTGCCAGCACCCTGAACTTCCGGTCCGTCCAACTGGGTAATCTCCTGGCGGAGACGGTTGTATGTCGCAGACAGAGGAAGAGCCTCAATGTCGGCGTGGGTGTTGGGCTCGTGCACAGTCATGTCGAAGATGCCGAAGTGCAGCTGACGCAGATTGAACAGGGAGTCGTTGACGTGCTTGGTCCGGATCAGGTTCTCAATCACATCGTCGGGGATGCGCTCTGATGGCTGGCTGGTGGCGGTCTTGCCCTCCTGGGCCTCCTGCCAGGTAGCAAGGTACTCTGGGGAGAGGGTTGAGTAGTGTCGGCTCAGAGAGCGCAGCTGCGAGGGTTCCCAGCACCAGTTCTCCAGCATCTGACTGGGTGCCTCGACAAAGTCGCGCACTGTGCTGGTACCGTGGAAGCGGGAGTAGATGGTTCGGGACACCAGGTCGTGGATACCGTGGCCTAGTTCGTGGAAGAGGGTCACGACCTCGTCATGTTTCAGCAGACTAGGCTTCTTGGGTTGGGGCTTGGTGAAGTTGCACACCAACGCGGTGGCAGGGAATCGGCGGTTACCATCCTTATCAACGAAGCCTGGCTGCAGGTTGAAGTTGGCTGCATGGCCATACTTGCCCTCACGAGGAAGAGGTCTAGGTACAAGTATCCAACGAAACCACTGCCTTCGCCTTCATCGTTCCAGACACTAAATACTTGAACGTCATCGTGCCAGACAATGTCATTGCCATTGCCAGTCGGGGCAATGGCTGCCCGGTCCTCGCCAATGATCTCAACGAACTCCAGACCGAACAGCTCCTCGAAGATCTTCAGCATACCATCAATGGTAGTCTGCAGGGGGAACCACTCAGCAATCAGCTGTTGATCCAGCGAGTAGTCCTTCTCGAGCATGAGACGGTCATAGAACCGGTGGTCCCACAGGTAGTAGCGGCCATCGGCCTTGGGGTCCGTGGCGTTCTTAAGTTCCAACAACTTCTGTATCTCCTTCTTACCGCCATCGGTCAGTCTGTCCCGAAGATCACCCAAAAACTTGTTAACGGTCTCTGGGGTCTTGGCCATCTTGTCCTCAATGCGGAAAGCAGCGTGGTTGGGATAGCCGATCAGACGGGCTGCCTCATCACGGAGTATAATGGATTCCCGGAATAGTGGCACGTTCTGGTTGCACTTGTTCTCATTGGCAATCATGACCTGTCGGCGGGTCTCGGGGTCGCTGGCGTATTTCATGGTGGGGAAGAGGTCGGGGTATTTGAACGACAGCCATAGCTTGCCGGCGTTCTCGCCCTCGCCCTTCTTCAGACCATCTAGAACGTCCTTGGGCACACCAGCCAACTGCTCGGGGGTAAACCAGATGCCGCCGTTCTCCTCGTTCAGGTTCTTCTGGAATTCAATGCTCAGCTGGCTCAGCCGCTTCTTGATCTCCTTGAAGCGGACTCGCTGAGGGCCAGCGGGCAGGCCAAGTCCATTGCGGACGAAGTCCTTGTGTTCCTTCTCTAACAGACGGCGTGACTCCGGATCGAGAGACTCGTTGCGGCGTAGCACAGCATCGACCAGACCAAAGACATCCTCACGCATGACCGCTTCAATAAAGAACTCATCCATCACCTCTTCAGCCTTGGAAGAGGCATCCCGTAGCTTTGAGTCGGTTGACACGGCTTGGTAAAAGCCCAGGATGTGTGACTCCAGTCCCATCTGGTTATCATCTTGGGCGAGGGGGCGAACAACATTGGCAAAGGTTGCGTCGTCGGGCTTAATCTCCGCCACCACCTTGTCCTGAATGGCACGCGAGTTCTTGATCAAGCGCTCGGCATCAGCTACGACTGACTGTGGGGTTGCAGTGAAGATAGGCGGGGCCTGGGGTGGCACCCGGAGGTGAGCGGGGGCCATGATGGAGGTCGTCAACAATCGTGTTGGTACGTTTGTACGTAAGTGGCCCAGCGCGGATGACAGGCGGGCGGGGAGACGGAGGAAGGGCGCCACGATGAGGATGGCTAAGAGAGCAATGAGGAGATGTAGACGAGCGGTAAAAGCAATGATGGGCGAGATTGGATGCGGTGTGGAGGCGAAGGGACAGGAGATATGCAGATTGTCAGGTGATCTGAAGCTGATGATTGCGGGGACAGATATCTACAACATACAACATACACTTTCTTGGCATCTGTTTCTGCAACATCCTTTAGGTATTGTAGTATTATATATAATTACCGAGACCCTATAGCTAGTTGAAACAGGTTGTTTGCATACCTAGGTAGGTTATCTGTTATAAAGTACTGACCTATAGGGTTTCTAATAGCTGGCCAATAGGCATGGGAACCGTATTTTGCCATCTCCTGCTATATCTACACCCAGAGTAAAAGGTTGGAATATTTTACCAGGTCCCAAAACAATGTAGACAAGTAGATCAGATCTGTAATTATGTCCGGGGTGCTTCCAAGGTCAGTACGAAGGATTGACATGTGAAGGAGACTAAGCGCCCCGCACTTTGCATTTTCTTCAGCTCTCCTGAAAACCTACCCCTACCTCCAGTCTACAATAGACTATAAAGATGCAAAGCCCCAAAGAAGTATATTCAAATAAGGATGAAAATTCGTTTCTAATTCATGATTATCTATGATGTGCGTCACAGGTCGCTTTTTATGGAACAAGAAAAAGACGGAAAGAAAACGCCAACACCGACCAACCCACAAATGCAAAAAAACGTGTCGTCAAGTTCAGTTTAAGCTGCATCTGCAGTTGGGATCGGCTCAGGCATCTTAGTGACCTGCTGGCCGGCCCGGATAATCCGCTGGCCTGTCTCATCACGCACATACTCGGAGTTCTCCTTCTGAGCGCGCTTCCAGATCTCAACCTCACCACCGCCGCGGATGACTCCAACACGCATGGTGGAAAGCAAGTTGTGGGCACCGTTGGAGTGGTAGTAAACACCACCGTTGAACATGGCCGTGGCGTCCTTGCCAAGGCCGGACTTGATCATGGCCTTGCCACCGGGGTGGTCCTTGATGAAATCGGTCACGTCGTGAACAACTCCGGCAATGGAGATAAGGCCACGGCCGTTCTTGGCCTGCTCGACATAGTCATCCCACTCCATGACGGGAAGCTGGTCCAGGGGAGTACCCCAGTCGAGCTTGGCGCGCTTCTGGTCGATCTTCTTCTGCAGCTGCTGGACGCGGCCCTTCTCGATCTCGTTGGAGCGGAACTGCTTCAAGTCGTAGGCCAGGCCGAGCTGCTTGCAGGTCCAGATGGTCCACTTGGTGGGGTCGTACTGGTGCCACTCAATGGCGTTGCGGTAGTCCGAGGGGAACTCGTGGTGGAAGTTGTGGTAGCCCTCGCCGAGGGTGACTAGGGCGGTGATGATGTGGTCACGGGGAGAGTTGCGGTCGTCGAAGGGCTGGTCACCGAGCCAGTGGGCCAGCGAGTTAACGCAGAAGGTAGCCTGTTGCACGAAGAAGATACGCAGAATACCGGCGTACACGAATCCGCCGTACCAGTCACCCCAGCCGAGACCAGCGACGAGCATAGGGACGATAAGACCCATGGTGATCACGACCTTGATGTAGTTGCGGTGCTGCCAGACAACAACGGGGTCTTCGTTCAGATCGGTGATATCAGTACGACCAATCCGCTTGGGGTTCTGCTTCATGACCATCCATCCCAGGTGAGAGTACAGCAAACCCTTACGCACGGAGTAAGGGTCCTTGTCGGTGTCGGTGTAACGGTGGTGCGCACGGTGATCACGAGCCCACCAGCGGATGGAGCCCTCGACAGCACCGCCGCCGACCAGAGCGAGCCAGATACGCATAGGCAAAGTGGCGGAATAGGAGCAGTGAGCCCAGAGACGATGGTATCCTGAAAATGGAGTCAGCTCTGATTCTTTGGTGTTCCCGTTCAATTCGGAACTACTTACCAGCTGTGATTCCCAGTCCAGTGAAGAAGTAGTAGATGACTGCCCAAATGGCGGTCTTCAGCTGCAGAGGCACGAAGAAAGCCTGGATACATCCGGAGATGGGAACGCCGATGATGAAGGTGACGTTGAGCCAGTTGACATGCTTGTACCAGTTCTGGCGAGTCATCTGGGTATCGGCAATGTGCACCTTCTTGGTGTCAGCCGCCCGAGGGCGTGTAGCATCCGGCTTGGACGACATGATGGGTGTGTAGAAGGTTGGAAGTTCAATCCAGGAGGACCAAAGGGTTTTTTTATACTTGGGCCCACTTGGGACCAACGTTGGGGAGCCGGGGCACTGATCGCCAACGTATATGGGGAAAATAGGGCTAAAAGACGAATCAAATGAAAGCAAAGATTGAGCGTCACAAGATCCCGAGGTGAAAAAGAAAGCCGAAGAAGAGGAGAATTGCCTTATAAGCAAGCGCTGGGAGAGTGTTGCGCTGCCCTTTGCTCGGGAGTGGCGTGCCTCATCGCTTTCTGGCGAATGTTGGGTCCGGCCAGCCCCAACGCTTTGATGCCTCAGGCAGTTAAGTCAGTAATTGACCAATCAGACGTAGATGGCAAATATGTTTATGTCAGCATTTTATCCCAGCAGCCATTTAGGGCTGTCCAAGTTCCAAGAGCGGGAGGTCAAGTCCGGGATTTCTAGGAATTATGCTATTTGGCCCAATCATGTTTCAAAGGCAATAACACGCATTGAGAGTGGTCAACCTGAGTGTTCCTTACTGGTTACTCCGGTTATTAGCAGTCTCGGCCCCCTTCTCCGGATGGCCGAGAGAACATCCATACAAATGAAGTCATCGCATGCGTGTGTGTAACGCTGTATAACGGATTATGTGGGACAAGTACTTGTGTGGATGTTATCGAATTGACCGAATTCTCCATCCTGCAAGAGAATAGTCATATGTCAAACATGTCCACTCAACCCAACCATTCTCGATACCTGGCAGCTCATGATTCAACAACTCATGTGCAAGAAGTGGCAAAATATGAAATCATGGTGAGAAATGAATCCAGGGTGAGGTTATAAGACCAACGAGAAATAATGCCGTGTTGGGAAAGACATGAAAGTCATATCATGGACATCTGCTGAGCTCGATGTTGCCGAATTCGGCCAGTGAGGATATACTTTTCTGGAACCATGCGGGATCTCCGAGCCTCACAAAGTATACCTACCTAGGTAGGTAGGTAGTACTCAACCATTACCTCCAGGACTCCATGTAGGTATGCCCACGGAAACAAATTAATCGCTATAATCACAACGTCTAATTCTATATGATGATCCCCACGAAGTCCCAAATATCCCTTACTGTATCTCATAGCTGTTTGATAAGAACGACCACCAACCTGACGTGAGGTCTGAGGTCGGAGTCTTCCACCTCGCATATGTACTGTCCACGGCAACCTCCGACTATCAGATCTTGATAAACCCCAAGATAGCAGAGAACGTTCGATCGTTTCCGAGCTGTGGAGAGCAAATCTGCAAGCTTATCGGGATATATGTAATTTGTACCGAGGAGACTGCCGGTATACTCCCTCGCCAATGAGATGTCCTGCATTAGCTCCGTTATCCATGTGAATACACAACTCTGACAATCTTAGAACACATAATATGGGGGAACTCGGGAACTCTAAACAAAACGCCATTCGACCTTGATGTATCCTTATCTTTCTCCACTTGGATAGGTCGATCCTCCGAGCTCCATAATTGGCTGAACCTCTACCCGATGTAGATAAGGATCTAACTTGATCCAGACAAGCCCACCAAGTTATGCGATGCTCTTGCTAATTGCCCATCTGCTCTCTCTGATTGCCCGGCTATTTGTCCGATAACAGAACTTGGCAGGTTATTACTTTCTGATATTGCATGGAGAGGTGGATACTGTTGTTTTAGCCATCTCCCCCGAGTTTTACCTCGAATGTTAGAGTTGCCGATATTCGGGGTTATTTTTATTTTTATATTTTTTATTTCTTTATGTTTTTCTTCCTTAAAGTCTTTAAATATAAACCCTCTGCCCTTGTCTGATAGTTCAGTATACATATTCATTATATTGGACATTCAGTATGGACGGTCCAGATCAGATCGGTCCCGATCATACGCCCAAGCGGACAATTAGCGACAAAGTCCGATACACCGTTAAGACTTTCACCACGCGGTATGGCTTCAAATAATGCATTGTGGAGGGACCTTGACTCACAATCAACAGAGAGGGCCTACTAGGAGACTACGACTATGGATACCTCTTTATCCCACGACTACCTTTCACCAAGCGAGCTCGCAAGTCCGCCCCGTTTTTCGGTCTCGATGATCGCGTGCCAGTCGTTCTCGCATTGATTCTGGGGTTACAACATGCACTTGCAATGCTGGCTGGTGGTGAGTGCTAGAGATATCTGCAGAATATACAAAAGTCTAAGAGCATCAGTGATTTCACCCCCCATCTTGCTCGGTGGTTCAGGCGGTGCCAACTTCGGCGATGACCTCTACCAGTACTTGGTTTCGACTTCGTTGATTGTGTCGGGCCTGTTGAGTGTTGTTCAAATGTTCCGGTTCCATATCAAGGGAACAAAATACTATATTGGAACTGGACTGCTATCAGTCGTTGGTAAGAGCTTCCCCTCCATTCAGCAGAAACCCCCGCTTCTGATGCTAAATTGCTCGAATAGGTACATCTTTCTCAACCATCACAGTCGCTCAAGGCGCATTCTCCCAAATGTATAAATCGGGTTACTGCCCGACCCTCGAAGATGGAACTAAGCTCCCTTGTCCAAAAGGCTACGGCGCCCTCCTTGGCACCTCATGTCTCTGCTCCCTCCTCGAAATCGGCATGTCCTTCATGAGCAGCAAGATCCTCGCCCGCGTCTTCCCCCCACTCGTCACCGGCCCGACTGTTCTCCTGATCGGCGCCTCGCTCATCAAGTCCGCCATGCAGGACTGGGCCGGTGGCGCATCGTGTGGTGCTGACCCTTCCGCCCGCGCGATGTGCCCAGCGCCAGCGCCCCGCACCCTCTACCCTGGGGAAGCCCTGAGTTCATTGGACTGGGATTCCTGGTATTCGTGACTATCATCGTCTGCGAGCGGTGGGGTCCTCCTATTCTGAAGAGTTGCTCCGTTATTGTTGGTCTCTTGGTTGGCTCAATCGTCGCTGCCGCGTGCAACTACTTCGATTCTTCCGGTATCGCTGCTGCCCCGGTGGCTTCCTTCGCTTGGGTCCACACCTTCCCGTTATCGGTGTACCCGCCGCTCATCCTGCCCTTGCTCGCACTGTATATTGTTATCATGATGGAGTCTATTGGTGATATCACGGCGACGTGTGACGTCTCCAGGCTCCAGGTGGAGGGCGATACCTTCGATTCCCGCATCCAAGGCGGCGTCTTGGGTAACGGCATCACTTGTCTCTTGGCCGGCTTGATGACTATTAGCCCTATGTCTGTCTTCGCGCAGAACAACGGTGTGATTGCGCTGACGAAATGCGCTAACCGCACCGCTGGCTACTGCTGCTGCTTCTTCCTGGTTATCATGGGCATTTTCTCCAAGTTCGCCGCTGCGCTGGTTGCAATCCCTAGCTCCGTCCTTGGTGGCATGACCGCTTTTCTCTTCAGCTCGGTGGCAGTCAGTGGTCTGCGCATCATTGGGTCTGTCCCTCCCACCCGTCGCAACCGGTTCATCCTCACAGCTAGTTTCTCGGTTGGGATGGGTGTTACACTGCTGCCGGAATGGTTCAGCTACTTCTTCACCTACAAGGGTGACAACCATGCCCTGGAAGGCCTGATCAATGCTGTTGATCTGGTCATGGAGAACGGGTTTGCTATTTCTGCGATTCTCGGCATCTTCCTTAACCTCTTTATTCCCGACGAGCCTGATGATGTCCCTGCCATCTTTGAGTCGACCAACTCTGATGATGGCCCTGTACAGACCAATATTCCTCAGCAGTCGTCGACGACTACTAAGTTTGCTTGATCTTGGAGGCCTTGTATAGTTCTGTCATATATGGAGTTTGTGGGGGGCCGGCTTCCCCCTTTTTAGCGTTATTTTTAATACCTATACTACAATTTTATGTTGATATTTCCTTGTGATATTTTCCTGCACTCTCTGCAAATGAGGTCTAGTAGACCCTGGGGACTATTGCTATCTCAAGATGAAACCCGCGACTTGACGACCGGACGAGGCTGCTGATTAGTGCTAGCCGTTGCACTATGCTCATTGCCAAACTCGAAGCAATCCTTCTCCAACTCCCCGATATCACAGCGCACGAACCCTTCGTCAACGAGTATACGCAAGACCGTGAGTATCCACACGCGACACGTAATCCCCGGGATCGAGTTAAGAGAATCATCGTAGCTCCTCATAATCTCATCCACACGCTCGTGCGCTGATGGAGGAATCGTTGCGATCTGAATCACCACACATAGGAAATTCTCCATGAATATCCCCGTTGTAGCCTCGTGCCCGGCAATCCACCCGCCGCCGATGCCTCGTGCATGGTACTTTGTTCCTCCGGGTGTGGAGCTGGTGCCTTTGTGGAGGTAGAAGGCCCAGTGGAAGTCGTTTGGGAGGGGTGGGTCGGAGCGGATATAGAGGCTGATGTGGAGGCTGCCTGGGGGCAGTCCCACCAGGGTCTCGGCTTGTTTCTTTTTGATGTCTGCGGACTTTTGTCTTGCTTCGGTACGGGCGATGGGCTCGGACATTTTGATGGTGAATAGAGGAAGAGAGATGTAATGAGATAAATGGAGGGGGGCAACTGCCAAGGATTGACAACATAGCTGGTTGTTACGGTATAGAAACAACTAGCAACTGGAGAGAAAATATAATATGGAGCTAGAGTGTCCGATTTAAGAAGTATTGGTGCTGGAACTTCCCCAGGTTCTGTCTGAAGATTGTACAATAATATTTCTTTCCAATTGGTCTAGAACACAACGTGACAGCATATCATACAGAACTATGCAGACACTACTATTGTCGAACTTGTCTACACCCCCTCGACTTTCTCCCCAGGAGCCAACATCTTAATATACTGGTGCTCCCCGGTCTCAAGCACCTCAACAGAATCCCCAACCCTCAGAACAAACTCCTCCTTCGCAGGAACAAGCTGCATTCCCAAGCACGCATTAGTTCGATCCCCATCATCAATCCGGCGATACGATTTCAACGTCCGATCTGGCTCAGCCTTATGTCTATCCCCAGAAAGAGGATCAACATTAGGCAGTCGGCACCGAACAGTGCGACAAGAAGCGTGGATCTCCGTGCCACCAATAGCAAGCCGCTTCCAGTGATCTTCCTCAAAAGCAGACGGGCCTTGGACGATGATGTTCGCGCGGAAGCGGCGGATACTCAGTCGGGGGATTGCATAGGCGCAGCGCGCTGCTACGTCCCGGTGACTGGAGATGCTGAGCAGATGAATTGGATACGCGTCTGCAAAGGCTGTGTTTGGCTGGAAGCCTAGGTCTGCTTTGCGTGGTGCGTTACGGAAGATCTGCCGCGAATGGGGTGCACTGGCGCGGAGGAGAGTCAGGGTGTTTCTTGATGGGTCGGACCCTAAATATGCGTGTAGTGATGCTGGAAGCAGTCTGCCGTAGTCATGGGCTAGAACTTTGTCTTTCCATATCTTGACTGATACCATTGGGAACTTGGAGTCCGCGGGTGGAAGCAGCGGGACTTGGAAGGTCTGCTGGCTTTTGAGGAACCTGAGTGCTATGCCGACCTTGATGGGTAGACTCTTCCATCCTGCTGGCAGCATCCGTGGATACGATATCAGCATCACACCCTGCGACTTGACTTCTGGTAGGTCTGCGTCATAATCCGGGGCAGATGGGTCAGGAATCCAGATCTCGGGATGAATCAAGGCTAGGCGATTGAAGCCTGGATTACGCAGGGTGCGAATATTCCATTCATCGTTGCTGTACTCTGCAAAGACGAATTGTCTATCGAACTCAAGCCCGGTTGGTACGACGTTCGACACTTGCAGCTCGACCGCACCACAGGATTTGAGCGGGTAACTGAATAGTGCTTTTACCCGCCAGGATGGGCGGCCATGATCGTCTTGATCGCTTGGTACACCCTGACTACTGTACTTTGAGTCAAACTCATCGTCCAGGTTGCTTTGGCCTGGCGGAAGTCCCAGGCGGCGACATCCTTTGGGATTGTTTGATGTTTTCAGTGTAGTCAATGTTTTCAGAACAAGGAAAAGCAGAGACAGGAAGAATATGACGATCAAATTCGGGGGAATACCCCCCGTGGGAAATGTCGACATTGGACATTGGGGGAGTATGCAGGACTCGAGAGATCAAGAGGGAAAAAAATTCCCCTCGGATATCCGAACCGCCAACATCTCACTGCCCTGCTTATGATGGCATTTTTAATGTCATTTTTAGGGGAATACAGTGTTGAACATTGAATTTATTTTCCTATTTATCTACTAAATTGGCATTGTATTGGCTTTGCTGCCAGTCCTCCTGATGCGCCCATGAGCATCAACATGGACCTTCTCGGTCTCGACGGTCTCGAAGGGTTTGACGACGGAGACACGCGTAAGTAAATTACCCCAGGGCGTTAGAAAAGTCACAAATATTAAACTACTCTTCAGCGCCCGTGGTCTCGATCTCAGCATCGCAGTCCCTCAACGCGTCGGCCGCCACCCGCGACCCAATCGCGACGGGCCTGGCGCGTCTGGACGAGGTTCTGAATGACCTCCCAGACCAGCCCGATCAAGGCGGCATCTTGCGTGGACATGTTACAGAAATATTCGGACCTCCAGGAGCGGGGAAGACCTCGCTGGCGTGAGTGCACCCCCTATTCACACCGCCAGAGTGCAATCTGACCCATTTACAGGTTGAATATTGCCTGTAATGCACTACGCGACGGCAAAGTGGTCTGGATTGGTATGTTCCTGCCAGTTCCCCGAGTCAGCTGCTCTTCTACTTATACCGTTAGATACGGGATGTCCCTTGCCCACTCCCCGGCTCGAGGAAATTGGCATCAACCTCGATGACTTTATCTATTTCCGGGCGCATACGCTGGCCCACCTTATAGCCCTGCTTGCACGTCCACCAAAAGGGTTTCCACCGTCGGAAACAAACCTTATTGTTGTCGACTCCGTGTCAAATTTATTCTCAGCTTACTTCCCCAGCGTCCAAGAGCTCAAAAACCAGCTCGCCGAGGGCAAAATCACAGATAAAGCACACCTGCAATGGCTGATCAATCGCAGATGGAACATTGCTAGTGAGCTAGGCACGCATCTGGCCAGACTCGCCGCGGGAAATATCGCTGTGGTGGCCATTAACCAATCCCACACGAAGGTCAAGGGTCAGCCTCACGCGGTTCTGCAGCCGCTCTTGTCGGGTGGTGCGTGGGAGGCCAGCGTACAGACTCGCATTGCGGTCTACCGTGACCTGCCGGATGAACGATTAGCGGAGGTCGAGAAGCGCGCGGGTAAGCCCCTGCCCGAGCAAGCCGGTGAGCTGCTCGTTGCCTTTCGCATTGAACCGGTATGTTGATGTCTCCGGTATGTTGCATGCGATTGTGCTTCTAACTTGCCTAGGATGGTCTTTATGAAATGGAGAGAAAGGATTCCGTGCCCTCCGAGCCTCTGACTCCCTTACCAAAGTCTCCCGACTTTGAGTACTATGATCCTCCTACTCCGACTCCTTCGCCTATATCCTCCGTGCTGTCTTCTGCACCACCGTCTCCAAAATTGGAGTCTCCGAAACCATCATCACCTAAGCCAATGTCACCAGAAAAGCCTGTGCAGATGCCAAGTAGGAAACGGAAGGTGGAGGAGGTAGCTGACAGCCAGGATGAAGACTCCGAGGAAGATGTCCCATGGACGAACGAGATAACCCTGAACACGAATCAATCATGAATTTATATATTATTTAGAACAACTATCCGTTTATTAGAATCTTAAGACGATATTAGAGAATACTACGTCTTTTTTACATCTCTGTTGGATATGCCGAGGTCTCTTTTGAGATATATTTTTGGTATTTGTTTACAGACCATGTCTGTCTGGTTTATCCCATATGCAATCACAGAGATCACCCACTGAGTATTCAAATCCTTCGCATCAAATCCTTCAAATCCTTTGCAATTTCTACCGTCTAGCCATTCAATTAATATCGGGCTTGGCCGCCAACTCCGATGCCGGACTGTTGAAAGGGAATGTGTTTCCCTCGGCCACAGGGTAACCCCAGACTTTTTACCCCCCCTTGGAGTGAACCTACACCCCAATTACCCTATGAACGCCCTTGAATTCCCAAATCTTAAGTCTTGTCTCGTTTGTTTCTCTTTCATCCAGACGAGCCCAAATTTCGATCTCCTGCATGGAGCATTGACACTTTCTGGCCTCAACCCTGTACGACCCAGTCCATATCCCACACTGCATTCCTTCTTTTCGCCTTTTCGACTTTCCCTTCTTTTCTTTTCTAAAAGTTCTTTCATTTCCCCCTTTTGCCATAGGAATATGTGGACATACCAAACAGGGTGAACCAGACTCCCTCCTCGAGTCCGGTCGCTCATATACCTCGCCAAAGCTCTCCCAAAGCTCTCCCAAAGCTACGAATGAGTCTGTTCTACAACCATGTCCAACGTTCCCCAGGACCTGCTGGATGGGATATCAGGTGCCCTCGCAAAAGAGGGTAATACGCTACAGATGATACTTATCGCTTTCATCGGATTATCGTGTTACAACGTTGCTGAGCTAGTTGTACTCGTCCCTGCCACCTTCCGCCGGTGGCGCGGACTCTATTTCTGGTCCCTGCTTATCTCAGGAGTGGTCGGTGTCGTACCATACTCAATAGGCTTCCTGATGAAGTTCTTTACTCAAACTGACTCCGTGCTGTCGGTCACTGTCCTGACTATCGGCTGGTGGACCATGGTCACTGGCCAATCCGTGGTGTTGTATTCACGACTCCACCTTGTGCTACGAGATGAGCGCATGCTACGCCGTGTGCTGAAGCTCATCATCGCAAATGTCTTCCTCCTGCATGTGCCCACGACGATCCTCACTTACGGCGCGAACATAGTCCACAGCGGCGAGGTCGCCTGGGTGAATGGGTACAATATCATGGAGAAGATCCAGCTGACCGGGTTCACGTTTCAAGAGTCTCTGCTGTCAACGTTATATGTGATTGAGACGGTCAAGCTACTGCGTCTTGGGGCGGATGTCTCTTCGCGCCCGGATGCACAGAGCATCATGTACCAGCTGATCGGGATCAACTGCGCCATCATAGCGATGGATCTGCTGCTTTTGGGTCTCGAATATGCCGACTTTTACGCCGTGCAAATCACTCTGAAGGGATTTGTTTACTCGCTCAAACTCAAGCTTGAGTTTGCTGTGCTTGGTCGTCTGGTAGAGCCTCATTCAGGGGTCCAGACATCCTGTTTCCCTCGCTATTGCCGATACGTTGCCTCTTTGCTCGATGCAGAGGCCGCCTGAGACGCCGGATCGCAGTGAGGATGCGCCTTATGAGCAGGCTGAGCCGAAGGACTTTTTGGTTCCGCCGGGCGGAGGCCGAATTGTTCAGAGGAGGATGTTCGTGGAGTCTGGGAGGGCGGCTTAATCAGCAATATGACGGTGTACAATATAATAATAATGATATCGAAACAAGCTTGGAACTGGATACTTCGGGTGTGTAAGTCCTACAGCATAGGCCGTATAAGCGAACGAATGTAATCGAAATAAATTCGAAAGCAAGGATGGCTCGGACCATCTCCTGGCGCTTAGAAGCGTCCTCGCTTTGCCATCAAGGTACGGAGTATGGACGTGACATGAAGTAGACCATTAGGCAGGTAGCCGTCTGTGGGTGGCCATGCGATTTGTAGAAAAATGTCAATTACCACCAGACAAAAAGGAGACGTTTCATTCGAGTCTACATAAATTATGTGTTCACGTTCATAGATTGGTCAGGTAGTCCTCGATCTGCTCCTTGGTCAACTTGCGGAACCGTGGTCCCTGAGCACCCTCCACTCCCTCATAGCCCAACAGGTGGTCCGCTGGGGGGCCAACAATGCCTGAAACGATGTTAGTCGATATTCGTCAGATCCTCGGATACCCAAGCAACCAGAATGGGAGGAGAGGAGGCAGAAACCGCAAAACTCACCGATTTCTATTGTGTCACCATTCATCTCACCCTCAATCGTCTCCTTGAGTGTCAATAGCGCGATATGGATGGCGTCTTCCAATTCCAGCCCTTCAGTGTACCGTTTCTCGAGGAAGGTCTTGGCACTTGTGGCGTGTTTGCCGATGGCTGTCGCCTTCCATGGGTAGTAGCTGCCACTGGGGTCGACCTGGTACAGACTGGGCCCACCCTTCTGGATACCGCCAGTCTTGCTGGAGATCTTCTCCTCGGGGTCATCTTTCTTAGCCTCTTCCGACTCAGGCTCAACGCCCTCGTCCCAGCCTGCAACCAACAGACTGACACCGTACGGCCGCACACCACCGGATTGCGTAGCCTCTTGCACTACCCGAGCGACGTCTTGAACCAATATACGAGTAGGTGGGTATTCGTTGTAGATGCGCTTGTAGCCTGTGTGCGAGACCTTGCGGGCCTTGTCGACCAGCACCCGGTAGTCGGGGCCCATGCCGGCATAGACCATACCGATATCCGGCGTGATCAGTGAGATCTTGGATAGGGAGGGAGGGTCAATCAGAGGCGAGGAGGACTTCTTCTCAGTCGCGAGCACAATGCCGTTCGTAGCTATCACGGGCGGCGGTCAGCTTGGCCCTATGTGGGAGAACTTAGGCATTTGCGTACCTTTGATACCAAGGGCAGTCACACCCTGGTTGACCGCGTTCAAGGCATACTCTATATTTGATCAGTAATCGATGCCTAAGCTCAGAAACGATGGTTCCATACCAATTTGCACCAGCTTTCCGCTGTAATGGAGCTGAGTTAGCAATGTTGTCAATTATACAGGGCAAGTCATCCGTACCTGGGTGAGAATGTAGTCAAGGAGAATGAGTATCGGTCCGCCATGGTTCGCTGTCGACAGGAAGAGAAGAGGAGGGGATGGAAAGATCGAAAGAAGGGGAGCTGTGTTGTAGGCAGAGATGGGTGACGTTTGGCGCGGTAGAGCTCACTAAAGGCGGTGACCAGATTGGGATTAGCCGTGGGGTTTGGGACACCTTCGGCTTTTCTGCTTTTCTTCTTCTCGTCGTTCTCTTCTTTTTCAACCCCTCAAAAAAGAAACAGTAATTCTCCCTCGGCCTTCTGTTGTCAAGGTTCGAGTAAACCTCGATGTGAGACCCAATGGCAGACACACAGCATTACCCTCCACGGGTCTGTCGCATCTGCCTAGAAAGCGTGCTGCCCACTTTCCAACCCTCAGAATTCCTCCAGAAGCCTCGTGTGGTTTATGAATCTTCCGATCCAGAATGTGGCCGTTTATTAAGCCCTTGCCAATGCAAAGGCTCCTCGCGTTATGTCCACGAGGGCTGCCTGCAGTCATGGCGCCATGCCGACCCCAAATATGGGACGAGAAACTTCTGGCAATGTCCCACCTGCGGCTTCCAGTATCGCCTGGAGCGTCTGACTTGGGCTCGGTGGATTAGTAGCGCTACTACCCAGCTAATTCTCACGCTCGGCATTCTTTTTTTAACCGTATTCCTGCTTGGATTCATTGCTGACCCCATCATTGATTTTTATTTGGGCCCCGTGGATGTTTACGCCGACTTAGTCGAGGAAGATGTCTCCTGGTTGGGACACTTCCTTAAAGGACTTGCGTCTTTGGGCCTGTTATCGTTCCTCAAGGCCATATTTGCGCTGTCGCCTTTCCCATGGAACCTCCGGTCTGTCGCATCAGGGCGCAATTCCGGCCGTAACAGGGCCGCCCAGTTGAACTGGTTAGTGGTCATGGTTGGCATCGGTACTTTCCTTTGGGTATGTGTGGGCATATTTGACTATGTCTGACTTGGGCTAACCGCAGAAAGGCCGTCTACAAAGGTGTTCGGTCATGGAGTAGACGAACGCTAGAAAAGGCTGGTGAACGAGTCATGGATGTCCCACTACCAGATGACGAGAGTGATACGGACGTCCCAGTACCGGACGACGCTGGAAGGAAGGAAGAATAGTTCCAAGCAATGAACTCGCACTACTTAAGTTGCCGTCCTCCTCTGCCCCATGAGACGTCGATTAGTCAATGTGCGAAGAACAATTACTGCCTTCAATAACTCTTGATTGTCTGCCTGAGAAGTAGATGATTGGCTCGAGGACGTCTTGTTCTCGAGTCTTTTCGCTGCTTCAACAATCAGGCGGCGTTCTTGGGGAAGGCAGTCCACCACTCAATTGTAAAGGAGCGTTCTGACCGTCGAGTCTGACCTATTAGCGCTTTTGGATTGAGCAGCGGTAAATTCCTGTATAGTCATATTGTTATATCTCCTATTCAGTCTTATTGTCTTATTGTCACATTGTCCATTGTTGATTGTCACGCGCGTGCCGTATTCAATAACTTCAATGCATTATTATGGCAGCAGTCTGCCTCATCCTAACAACACCGCGTTCTCCCCCTCTCTTTTTCCCTCTTCTTTCTCTCATGTAACTCAAGTTTCACCTCATCTTCGCAAAATGGATGATCTCCCACCAGGGTCTCGTCTCGCGCATGTCCGCTCTAAACTCGCAATGGACTCTGAATCAGAGGAATCCGGATCTGCTACTCCTACCAACCCAGATACTGCCAAACCCGAGACTGAACCATTCCCTGGCACTGAGCCATTCCCTGAATACGACGAGTCCGAGTGTGAAATGCTTGCGTCTTCCATCGCAGCCGACAAACGTCGCGAGGAAGCATGGATCTACGCTCTCGGCAAAGCCACCCAACGAGAGAACCGCATGCTCCATGTCGACCCTAACATCATCCCATATTTCCAAAGTGACCCGTCTCACCGCAGCCAGGTGGTCCTCGAACAGCTGCGAGACCTTCTCGCCGACCCGCAAATGCGTCCTGAGATCCGCGAGCAATTCATTACCATGATCAACGCCACTCTTCAATTCAACCTCGTAATCTTTCACCAAAGCCCGGAGTTTCTGGCTCCCAAAGAAATCGAAGATGCAGAACTTCACCTTGAGTCCGTTCTCAATCTCGTCGAATGGATGGAAGAGAATCTCAGAGAGCAGCTGGAGACTGCCGAACAGGCTTCTTATGCCATCGAGGATGCCTCGTTGGAGCCTACTTCGGCCTATGAGCGCCTTTGCAAAATGGCGACTCTTTTCGCCAAGTAAGTGCCAATACCCTTGTTTATTATCCACTTTCTGCTTCAGCGTCTCTAATACTCTACGTACAGGGCCATGAAAAAGCCTCGTTACCTTGAACGGCGACTGCTTGCTTTGTACATGGATATGTACGAGGAATGGGTCCACACTCCTTTCCTCTTTCTGCGCAACCACCAACTTGTGAACGAGCAAGACCCTAGCCCAGAACGCACCAAGCTTTCGCGTCGTGTCATTATCATCTGGGACCTGATGAACAGCTGCATTGAAAGCTACGGTACCTTGACCTGGTTCACTCTTGAGATCAGACGTCAGTACTTTGCCCCGGTGATGGGTTATCTTTGTGACTCGCCAGAAATCTGGCAGCACTGCTGGGATCAATACCAGGCACTCGAGAAGGATCGGACTCAGGCAAGCGAGAAGGATTTGTCCCGATACGCCACCATCTGAATTGTGGAAGATGCACTGCCCCGTGGCATCACATGGAATATCTTCTCGATCTCTACGATTTTTATGACCTGTCTTTAGTGTTTTAAATACCCCAGACGCCTATTTTTCAAGCAACAGAACAAACGCATAGCGAAATCCAATTTGAAAATGCTATTCCAACCTATCTCACACCCGTAACCTCAAGCCGTACTATCCTTATAAGCCCCAAGTTTGAACAACTTCTTCGCATTCTCCCTTCCAATCTTCAACCGATCGGTATTCGACATCTCCGCCGAATCAAACCAGTCACACGCATCCGCAAATGTCTCAAACGGATAGTCAATCGAGAACAAAATCCGATCAGCCCCAACCTCCGCCATACAAAAGTTCAGCGTGGTAGTCGAGAAATGTCCCGACGTAGTAATCCACAAGTTCTCCGCAAAGTACTCCCGAATCGTCCGCTTACACGTCTCCGCAAGTCCAAGCATCTTCTTCCGATCCTCAAACCAGTGGTTAATCCGCCACATATCAAACGGAATATGCTCCCCCAGATGGCCCAGGATAACCTGTAGCTTCGGGTTCCGATCGAATACCCCGTTCGTCACCATCCCAAGAACATGTAGACTGACTCCCTGCGCAAATGACAGCGGGGGCCCAATCAGCCATTTCCGATCTGCCCAGAGCTTATCGTAGATCGTGCCTGTCGGGTTGCGCGGATGCAGGTAAAGCGGTACATCCAGCTCTGTGCACGTGGCCCAGAATACGTCCCATTTCTCGTTATCGTAGAAGATCATGTCGTCGCCGTCGGCGCCGGCGCGCTGTGTGTCGTTCACTAGTGCTCCTAGGAACCCGTGCTGTGTCACGCAGCGACGCAGCTCGGCCGCTGCTTCTTGTGGGTCGTGCATGGAGAGCGTGCTGGGTGGGTTAGCTGATTGTATAGTGTATCAATTACGGATGTATTGATTTGTGAGCTGCAACTTACGCAAATGCGGCAAACCGATCCGGGTGCGCTTTCACTTTCTCCGCGATGTAATCGTTGATCTCAACGGCGAGCGCTTGCGCATCCTTTGCGTCCCAGATGTCCTGTACGCCAGGTGCTGTGTAGCTGAGGATCTGGAGACCGACGCCGTGGCGCTCGGCGAAGTCGAGTCGGATTGGTCCGACGTCGTTGATCTCTGCTGTGTGCTTCTCTGTGTCGGTGGCGAACATGCCCGCCCACCATTTTGTCTTTTCGCGGAATCGGGGGAGCGCAAAGGCTTCTTCGAGGGCGATTTTGCCGAGCATTTTGGTGTGTCTAGTAAGGGGGTAAGAAGGCTTGAGGATGGTGACAATGTGTATGATTCCCAGCTGCTTTATAGTATATGCGGGGACCCCGCACTTCGGAAGCGTTCAGACCTTCTATGCTACTACGTTGAATTATGAGCCCTGTCCATCGGAATACCCGTCGGATGTCAAAGTACATTATGTATGCGAAGGGAAGCATCCGACGGCGGCTCGCCGTCGGGGCGGATGCGGGGGAGCGGTTGGCATCGGCAGAGATGGACATATTGTTTTCTATTCGAGGTCACCTATACTACGTCCCAGGCCTGGTCACAGATCGCAGTCCAATTCCATGAGTAGGTGGATCACGTTTAGATTGAACGATCTCAATCGCTTCTTTATCGATTAGCCCTTTGGCAACCAGATGGCGAACATATTCCATAGTCCAGTCTTGGCACCGCTTGTTGGTGGTCTAGAAAATTCGATTGTGTGAGCTTAATCCAGATCTTACAACCTTCGTCTAGAGTGTATGCCGTGTTACCCACATCGTTGACAGGTGCCATGAAGTTCTGGTTGATCCCCAGAGTCGGGACTTGTGTCGCCGCTAGTTCGATCTTCCCTCGGGGAGTGGAGTCGATAGATGGAGCCGCATCTGGGGAATCAACGACGTCGGAAGAGTGAACCTGGCCGATTGGAAAGGTCTGGTCGTGAGGTTCGAGACTGGGATTGTAATTTCGCTTGAACTCCAGGACATAGCCTGCCATCGGTGCGCCAACTGCGTGAATTTTGTTCCCTCGGTCGGGATTGGTAGCTGATGGGACAAATATTGAGAAGTGGGCTCTTTGGAAAGATGTATTGCGAGCAGAGATAAGATAGATTGTTCTTGTGGCCATTGTATGTTACCATGTATTGTACTCTGTAGAGAGAAGATGGATGTAAGATGGTCGAGGTCAACATCAGGCACGAGTCATGTGGCTAGCCACTCCAGGTACCCAATGCTTAACATAATTATACTCGGTTTGTGTACTTAGATTTTAATTAACTGAAGATGTAGGATTAAAAAAAAAAAGTAATTGGTTTGTTCGGACGGCTGCTAATCAATACGGCAGCATCGTCTCGAAGAAAAGTAGATAGAATGGGCATAACGGCATAACCTGTGAGTCCCGACTGCAACAGCATGGAAGACTACTTCTCAACGAACTTGATTCCACATCGCTCCTTTGGGCGACAAGTCGCAGAATCATTCCAATCGGGAAGGGGAAGACGGTTGATCTTTTTGCCCTGCCCATCAACCATCGTAATATCAAACCGCATCAGAGCATAAACAACCATCAGTTTCATGCTCAACGTAGCAAGTCGCTGGCCTTTGCAAGCATGCTTCCCCCCACCCCAGCCGATAAACGGTGTTTCCTTGTCAATTCCTCGAGACGGATCCCAGCGAGTTGCGTCCGGGTAGTACTTCGGGTTGAGTGCTGTGTCCGAAAATGGGTACACAACGAGAGACCCCGAGGGGATAACGTATGGCCCGATTGTAACATCTGGGCCGATGTTCTTCCGCACTGCTGTGTATGGCTGAGAGGTGCGCAGTGTTTCACGTATGCAGAGATCGAGATTGGGTGTCTGAGATTCCCAGGCTGTGAGTGGGATCTCTGAGAGGGCTTGGATGAGAGCGTCCCCGGAGAGGGAAGGTGATGATGTGTGAGTAGATATGAAGGTCTTGACCTCCTCTTGAACATTTGAGGACCAGACCGGGTCCGAGGTGATTTGCATGATCAACCATGTCACTAAAGGGGGCGACCACCGTCAGTGTTATTGTATCTGGTGTTGCCGAATTTCAAACATACCGATCGTTCCGGTGGCACGAGCTCCAGCCAGTGAGAGCCCTAGCATACACTTTGAAGAGAGTCAGATCCCTGAACAAGGTGAATAGAAATGTGGCAAGAATACATACCCCAAAGATTTGAATTGTACCATCTCCCTCGTCAATCATCTGCTGTAGCATATCATCCTTCTTGATTCCGCTCCTCTTTCTGGCGTTAATGGCCGCTTGAACAATTCTGTAAATCTGAACAGAAGCAAAGAACTTGTGGAACAAGGCCGGGCTAGGTAACCAAGGGAGCCAAGTGGAGTATGGGTTGGTGATAGAGTCGACAGTGTCCACAAGTGACTTGAGACGAGCTGAAAGAACTGGATCATTGGCGATATCAAAGGAAGCAATGCGCATGACCAACTGGAAAGCGACCTAAAGGTAAAAACAAGATGTCTCAGTTTTCCACCTAGTAAAGATAGATCTCAGATCCACGCACCTCGTGAAGTGAAGAGCAGGGGTCGAGAATACGCTCGCGACCCCATGCATTCATTTTCCGCTGGGATTCCGACAGAATCAATGGAATCACTGGATGTATATCAGCCAATCTTCTACCCCACGGAGAACGGCATCGACTGACATTTCTGGAGATTGTCAGGTCGTTGAATCGAAGCCATTCGTCTGACTACACCACCGACTTGGTGGGGGTCAAATTTAGCAGCACCCTGAAAGAATTTAGCTATTACCGAGATCAGAATCAATCGGGGTCTTACGCTGCCCATCATAATTGAGAATGTGTCATATAGACACAGACCCTTCTCCTTGAAGAAGACCTGTCGACCTTCATCTCCGGATAGGACGATGGCGTTATGCCGGAACAGACTGGTCTGGTAGATGGAAGATGAGGTAGCCTTGAAGCCATCTTTGATGAAATCAAACCTCTTCTCAAAGAACAACTGGGTAACCTTCCAGCTAGGCAAACGCAAGCGTGGAGGAGAGTCTTTCCGGGGCGGAGATGCCACGGGCACGTATAGCACTTTGTAGAGCAAGGCCGAGAGTAGAAGGATCACTGAGGTTAAACCACCCACATCTCGAAGAGTCAGGGAAGCCGTTGCATGAGGCAAGTGCCAGAGTCAAAGTGCTCTGAAGCATTGTGAAGAAGTGTCAGAGAGAAGTTGCAGAGCTGTAAACTGAAGAAGATCAGAAGAGGTCTTTATATCCCGAAAGGATAGGCCCCGAAGCGGGGGTTCACAAGTATATCCTCCTGCCGAAAGTGAAATGAATTCAATTACACCGAGCCAATGGCCAATTCTCCATTGTTCCTTCCAGAAAATGTCCTTTGCCCGCTTTGCCCTGAGATGCCCTGAGATGCCCGGGTCTCAGCCAGATCGTGTCGACTGCGCCATCATTCACACCTTCCCTGACTCACAGAACCCAGGACCTAACCTATCCTGTAAGGCTTACTCTGTTGGAAATGTCGAGATAGCTGCGTCTTGAAGCCGCTGTTGGCTGTTGTCTCGGATCTTGTCAGCATTAGCGTGATGCATACCAGATTAGAGTGGACCACTTAGGCGGGCCGTCGGTACCAGTTCAGGCTTATATTCTCATTTTTGATTTTTGAATGTCATTGTGATTTATTGGAACTTGCTCAGAGTCCCAAGTTGAGCAATGTTCTGCTGCCTCCATTGGGGGCGAGGCCTCTTTAGGTTAGGTCAGGCTACCAAGGCTGTTAGAGACCTACTAAATGCGATCTCACTCCCGAGGGCTGAGACAGTATGGGCAACTATTGAACCAATTAAGCAGTGAGAATATACTGATAAATACTGATTCTCTCTCAATTATAGAACTGGTGATTACAAGGCTGAATTTGAATAGTTGAGACGTGATGGAATGCTTGGTCTTTGCCTTAGCCGTCCAGGGCAGATATGCGAACCTGAATATTCTTTTTATTTTGCACAAAGACCATGCATAATTCCTGACTGTTTCCAAATCAGGGCTCTTCTATGATGATTCTAGATCCTGCAAATGCTAAAGGTGTTGGGGGCCAATAAACGTCCGGTGTAAATATCATTGTATTTTCGTGCATGCAACTATAATAGAACAGGGTCTGACCCACGAACCCCTGTGACTCTCTTGTCGAATATCTGACTCATCTTTTATGGCTTGAGGCTCGTATAGGATCGACCTAGGGTCTCTGGGGCCTTTCTTCTCGATCGACAGTCCTCATAGGGTGGAACCAGGGTCAGATTCGCTTAAATTCGGGTTGTATTTGCCAATTATTTTCTGTGGCTGATGACAATGACATTATGCGAGGCTACCTGGGTAAGAACCAACAACGACTGTGATAATCTCTTCCGATTGGCTATATTATTAGCTTGCATGCAAGCGCAGCCATCATCTGCTCGCTTAGCGCTGTTGGGTGCGCCACCATGCACCCGGGGTCCAGCTGATTGGTTTCGTTAATCAAGGACAAATGTAAGATTATTCATATGCTAATCCTTCATGGAAAAGCCGTGAGCTAGAATAGCCAGCGTCCAATAGGAGAATAATAGGAAGATAACTCCATATCCGTGTATGGGAATTGCCGAAAATCACCACTTGTCCTCTACTTGCATACAAGCTGCATTAAAAGCCATCTAGTTTGGAGGAATTCGCAATTCGGGCGAATCCTTCAACGAGAGGGTTACATTGGGATAGAACTCTTGTAAATGGCTGACTCATTAAAAATAGTTCTATACCTAGGTAGTAAAACAGACAAAACGGTCTCAGGACATCTCTTGACCCCATCGCTTCAGATATAGAATATTTACTCCATATCCATCCCATTAAGCATTAAATCCCACATCCTGAGCCTTGACCAATTCCTCCCTCTCATAAAGAACTTCCGGTCTAATATCCCTTCTCAACAAGTACCGTTTAAAGAAATACCCAATTTGCCTCAACCCATACCGGGCATGAAGCCTCGTCGGCACAGAAAAGACTTGATCCAACTCCTCAAGCGTCTTCCCCTTTGTCTCAGGCATAAACAAGAGTATCATCCACCATCCAACAAAGCACCAGCTTGCATGCCAAGCAAATGCTCCTGCGTTGTAAATGCAGCACGCAGAGACGGCCACGTCACTCCCAGAAGGAAATTACAGAACCACATCGTTGCCGTGCCTAGCGCCATTCCATATGACCGGACGTATAACGGGTACACTTCGGCTGTGTATGTAAATGGCACGGGTCCCTCGCCCGGTGAGTAGACCACGCCGAAAAGAGATATGTTCCTAAAGCGATGCAAGCGAGACGTGCATGGTGGCTGCTCTCTGGGATCCAGAAGCTGAACCCTGTGAATAGCATTGCCATGGACATGAGGGGGAAGGTGAGTAATAGGAGATTGCGTCGGCCGAATGTGTCGATCGTGTAAATTGCCGGAATTGATAGGAGCCAGTTGATTAGGCCCCAGCCTAGTGAGGCAGCTAGAGCAGCCGGCGGAGAGAAATTGGCCTAGAGCTTCTGTCAATGATCCGGTGGAGGAAAAGTAGGGTCGATAGCTTGATCTGACCTCGAGAAATATCTCAGAAGAATAGTATGATATGACATTCACGCCACAGAACTGCCCAAGTTAGCTTTCTCTTTAATTACTTGGATTATCTTGCTGAAAATCCACACTCACCTGCTGCATAAACATCACAATTTGAGACGCCAACATCGCCCGCCGATTTCGCGGGACTTTAATCAGTTCCAGCAGCTTATTACGCCCAAGCTTCATGCTATTCTCAGCCTCCAGAAGGGTATGCATGTAGTACAAGTCACGAGCTGCCTGGATCTTATGATTCCGCAGCGTACAGATAGACCTGTAAGCACGGTAATACTGCTTCTGGCGCATGTACCAATGCGGTGACTCGGGACAAGCAAAGACAAAACAGCAAACGACTAGAGCCGGGAACATCGCCGAGGCCATCATACAGCGCCAATTCAGGCCGACGATGGTACTCGACTCCACATTGTAGAATATGAGGTCCGATGCATAGCCAACCATAATCCCGAATGCGGTCCACACATGCCACTGCATAACCAATGCGCCACGGATAGAGGGCGGTGCTGTTTCGGCTGCGTATATTGGCACAGTGGCTGATTTGGGGCCAATCCCGAAGCCTAGCATGAATCGTGCAACAAACATCGCCCACCATGTCGAGACAAATCCCTGCCAGAGACAGGTTATCGCAGACAAGCAGCATGCTATGAAAATTGTGCCGCGGCGCCCGAACCAATGGTTGAATGGGACTGTCAGCCAGGAGCTGATGAAGGCGCAACAGAGGTATGGGGCTGAGTTCACTAGACCGACAAGCCAGGCACTCCGAGAGGATTCATCGCCGATACCGAATTGGTGTTTGTAGAATATTTGGGCTCCGTTGACAACCGTTTGGTCTGCTATTGTTAGCAAGGGTATTCTTTGAGGTTTGGGAACTTTCCAAATTGAACTGCTACTTACCCATTCCCTGAACTGTGGCGGATAAGGAGCACAGCGTAATAACAACATACATCTTCCACGGCTGTGACCAGCGATGAGTAACTTCCCGGCGCAATACTGCCTTTTCCTTGTTTGTTAGACCAGCGACATTGTCATACTGTTCCGGAGACTGTGCCAGCACAGCACCCAGCTCGAAAGCGCGGATATCGGACTCATCGCCCATCTCGTGGAGTTCAGCAAACGTGCGCCCCTGATTCCGTAGCTCGGTATGGCTGAACCCAGCCAGCGGGTTGGAGAGTTTGGCATTGAGATTGCGCCGTGCTCGCTCGGCAGTCCCGACTGGTTGTTGCGGCACGACTTTCTCGGACAGCGTGTCAATTTTCTCCTTTTTTGTCATCTCTATATTTTATGTTTTTCAAAAGCTCTATGGAGGAAAAAGATTGAGACGATGTTTGGGTCTTAGGGTTGGGAAGGACTGGGTTCCCGAGACAAAGAAACTCGAAGGCAAGCAAAACACATGACTTTGGTCTCTTTCCTCCAGGGTATGGAGTACATTAATCTATATGTACAGGAACATTCAGGTGGGTCTATCAATAAACCTGTCAAAGAACGGGGCATGGGGTTGGAGAGGGTTGAACTAGTAGATGGGTATTCTTGGGCAGTGATTGGCAGAGGGTTTATTGCAGACAAAGGATCGTGATACGCCGTTCGCCCATTTCGGGCTGTGCCTGCACGGCTTATTGGCAATAAAGTCAGTGGAATAAAGGTATGAATTAGTTAAGAAATGAATCATAGACTAGATGGAGATAGTGGGCACTGCTGCAACACTGTAGTCCGAACCAGCGATTCCATCTAGGGCACGATCTACTCCGTCAGTACCCCCTTGCAACGACCAGAATCTTCTAAGACTGAGGACTGGAAGAGATGTACGTCTAACTCTTCTCCGAACTTGTAAATGTTGAAAGAGACGAATATACTACAGACTAAACAGAAACAATGAAAGAATATGTGTATTGCCAGTGTATCAAATTGAATTCTTAGCCCATGACCTAGTTCTATATTGTTGAGACGAGCATGCGACAATCTGTGAAAACCTGTAAAGATCTGTAAATCATATTAGCAATGATCGCGTACATAGACTCGAGAGAGAAACAAAGTCAAGAAGCTCTATCAGATAACTTTATATAACAATTTTTATCAACAATATAGTTCAGAACAGGTCTGTATGAAAAGTTCACTCATCATAAGAGAGATGCAAAGGGGGAAAAAAAGAAGAAAAATCTTTAAAACTCACGCTTGAAATTTCAGCTGTCCCGATGAAATAGTTCATCATATGAATTGAATCATATCGGGGACAGCTCGGCATCTCATGAGATGTACTAGAAGCTTGGCATGAACAAAGCTTGGAAGCTTCCTGGGCTTGCCATATACAACCACAAGGTCAAAGCTAATTTCAAAGAAAGCAAGCCATTGAAACCCGTACTGTCAAAAAATAAAATAAAAAATGAGAAGAAGTATTTGATAAAGAGGAAATAAAATGAAGAAGGAAAAATCAAGAGCGCTTAAATAGTAAGTGGAGTGCCAGTTTTGCACTGTTTGCACTCTCAGAAAAAAAAAGTGGAAGATGCAATTTACCCAAGTCAACTCTTCGGCTTTTTTGAAAATTATTTTGGTATAACTGTTTGGCCAGAGTGTCTTTACGCTTGTACGGAAATACTCTCTGAAAAAGTATGGCTGATGCAGAGAGCCCCAGACTGGAGGAGCAACAGAGTAAGATCGTCCTGAAAAAGTACCCCAAAGAGTCTCGACTAATCGATATCTACAAAATACAGCTCCTACCAAGTCTCCCTTTACAAATGTCCGCACTGACGGCCGAGCCTTCAACTCTCCCAATTGGCGCATGAAGGCTGAAAGCCCAGCAACACCATCGCGTACCAATGGCAGCCCAAGCGCGAACCCCAATACCTCTCGTGCAGCCTTCAGTCGGCCCGGAGCGCACGTCCCCCAAGCGATTAACGATGGCCGCCGCCTATACGTTGGCAACATGCCATACACGGCTAAGATGGAGGATGTGGAGGCGCTGTTCATAGCGGCCGAGTTCCCTATGTATGCCTGCACTACTTGAACCTAACGGCCGTTGAATCATCGCCAACTGAAACCCCCTCCAAAATAGCGAGCGCATAGATATTGCCATTGATCCTTTCACCGGCCGGAACCCTTCTTACTGCTTCGTCGACTTGCAGAACAAGGAGCATGCCGAGCGCGCCATGACTGAGCTCGATGGCCGCGATATGTTGGGTCGCCCGGTCAAGATCAAGCCCGGTGTGGCCAAGTCTCAGGAGCGCATTCAGAATCCACCTGAGCCATTCCGCATCGATCGCTGGCGTCAGCAAGAGAGACCTAGCTTTGCTAAGGTCAACAGTGACTCTAGCAGCCGCGTGTATGTTGGTGGACTGCCGCGATTGACCGACCACGGGGCTGTGCAGACCAACATAGAGATGTTCTTCAAGGGATTCAAGGTGTAAGTTTAGATGGCTTGGAATTTGTGTGGATCAAATACTGATACCCTACTTGTTTGCAGTGAACATGTCAGCAAGGTCTTCACCCCTCACCCCGCTAAGCGGTTCGAACCCGGCGAGCACTACTATCTGTTCGTCGACGTGGGTACTCCCGAGCAAGCCCTGAAAGCCATGGATACACTGAATGGTCGGGAAGGACCATGGGGTGGTCCGCTACGTGTACAGTTTGCTCGTGGTCCCAAGGATACCTCGATCTAAGTTCAGAGGCTTGTCTAAAAAAAGTTAAGTATTATTAATGATAGGACGTGTCGCATTGCATGAGCTATGATACCTGAATAGACTACAGAATTACATGCATAATATATCTGTTTAGTGTTTATTTGTTACGAGATTAGTCGAGGTAGGACTGAAGGGGGTTAAATATCTTGGCTTGAGACAATATCAAAGCTAATATATATCGGATAAAACTATGACACATGATCCATGGATAGCCGGGTCATAAGACGAGGTCTATAATTTGCTCCGCACACCCGAAGGTGATGACACCATAAGGAGGTATTCATCTGTGAGGCTAGTGAGAATACTGCTCATGTCGAGTTGAAGCATAACTATACACTATATATGCATATAGCCATATCTGCACTAGCTCAATGAAGAACGCCGGTGTGTTTGCCTCGGGAAGAGTGTATATTCGATTTCCAGCCTTTCCAAGTTAAGTCGATTTGCTCACCATAAGAACTTTTGTGTATAGCTAATTCTTTTGCCTACATGTAGTAGGCCCGGGTATAAGCGCCCGTATAAAACAGCTGTATACAGATTCTCCTTAAATGGTTAGCATATTAGTAGTATGAATGAAAAACTTGTTTTATCTGTCTTAACGTTTACAATTTAGGTTAGAGGTAGCAATAGTCAATAAACCACTAAACAGGATCTTGTATATATACATACATAATATAGTAAAGGAGGCAGATCATGCCTACTCCGTATGTTGTAGTAGTGTTCAATAGATGAAAGTGGATTGATTCACGATGGAGATGACGTTAGTGGGGAATCCAGACTCACCGCATTATGCGCCTCCCTGAATTCTGTTTCTTCTGTTTCTTCTCTGTTTCTTCGGGCCTTTTTTTTTGTCTTTTTTGAATTTCTTTTCCTTTTTTGTGAATTCATATAATCCATTCCTGCTCATATTCTCAATATCTTCTTGACCAAACCCCCCATGTTGGGTTAAGTTCTACTTTTTGGTCCTCCGGCTTCGGGTCGGAATTGCCCCTAATCTTCCCGAGATTCTCGTATTTGCCCTTCTTCATATAACATCAACCTCAAAAATGGCTTCAGAAAGTGTCCGAAGCCAGCATAAGGCATTCGTTGCAAGTGTGAGTGGAATTCCTCTGTTTTATGTTCTGATATCCGCAGTATTGTTGCGTTGTTACTCTGCCGAGGCTTGCATTGCATGTATGTGCCCAGGTGGGTTAGGTTGATTTGGGATGATTGATCTTTTATTTTGGAAGTATGAAATGCCTTCAAAATGGCGTTGCCTGGGTATTCAAATGCAAGAAAGTAGAACAGACTGCAAGAGCACTTTCACACGCGCGATTCTACAAGTTTGGGTCTACTATACCTTCTGTCTTGTCTACCTTCTGTTTCTTCTCTTTCTCACCCCTTCGCGATCCGACACTCCTGCAATCTCCATTTTCTTTTTCATCTTTCAAGAGATAAAAATGCCAATCGCTAACTTTGGCACGCAGTCCGACGACTCAAAGATATGTGTTGTCATGGTGGGCCTCCCGGCCCGAGGCAAGAGTCTCATCGCCGGCAAAGGTAAGTGAATCAGCTATCCGGAAGTCAACATGTGGGACTGACTTGTCAAAGCCATGCGCTATCTGGGTTGGGTGGGTATTCCTGCACGTGTCTTTAACGTTGGCAGTTACCGCCGCTTCAGCACTCCACAGCCACAGGCTGGATTCTTTGATCCTCACAATGAAGAAGGCGAGCGTATGCGCCGAGCTGCTGCAGAGGCTGCCATGTCTGACATGCTCCAGTGGTTTAATACCGGGAAGGGTGTTGTGGCCATCTTGGATGCCACCAATTCCACAAAGGACCGCCGTAGGTGGATCTATGAGAAATGCACCGAAGCTGGTATCGAGGCTCTCTTTGTTGAGTCAATTTGTGATGATGAAGATCTCATCATGACCAACATCAAGGAAGTCAAGACGACATCCCCGGACTACAAAGGCCAAGATCCGGAGGTGGCTGCGCTTGATTTCCGCAATCGCATTCGCAACTATGAAAAGGTGTACGAGACCATCGACGATGAAGAGAAGAGTTACACTTACGTCAAGCTTATCAACGTGGGATCGACGGTCATCATCAACCAGATCAAAGATTATCTGTCCAGTCGCCTAGTCTATTATATCCAGAATATTCACATCAAGCCCCGTTCAATCTGGCTATCAAGAGTAAGTCAAACATCAAAATTCCGGGATCATTTTGAAAGGGGGCTGACGAAAATAGCACGGTGAATCCGAGTTCAACCTGACTGGGCGGATTGGAGGCGACTCCAACATCTCCGAGCGGGGCGAGGCCTATGCCCGCGCGCTCCCCGAGCTAATGCGCAAGTCCGGTATCCCTGACAACACCAAGATTGTGATCTGGACCTCAACCTTGCGCCGCACTATCCAGAGTGCCCGCCACCTTAAGGCAGAGACTGGCTACGAGACGCTGGAGTGGAAAGCCCTGGATGAGCTGGACTCGGGCGTCTGCGACGGTTTGACCTACGAGCAAATTGCTGAAAAGTACCCAGAGGATTTTGCTGCCCGTGACGAAGACAAGTACAACTACCGCTACCGCGGTGGCGAGTCCTACCGCGACGTCGTCATCC